AGATTAGTAAACAAAATGTACTGATTTACATAAAAAAGTAAATACATAATATTAGGAAGATACGATATAATTACTTTATGATATCAATCTATAAATATTCATTTTGAAAATGTATTTATATATATATAAAGTTTGCTGGTGGCTATGGTGGCAGGAGATGATGTGAACATGATTCGCACCTGACGCTACACTCCAAGCTAACGAACTGTGAATCCTACCTCTTCCGACAAAACTTTTCCTCTCTGTACAAAACTGACGGTAATTTTAAACTGAGCTTTTGTTTTAGAGCACAGCTTGGGAAAGTATGGTTGGATACAGCCTTTTCTTGAGTATCTTTAGAACTAGAACGATTTTTTTACAATCTATTTATATTCCTTTTATTTAAGGTTTACTACATTTACACTACATTTTGTAAGGCTTACATAATAATGTACAGAAAACTCATTATATTATGTCTAAGAAACGTAAGGTTTCTATCTCGACGTTTAAAAATTTTCGCCTGCCGCAGCAAACCTGCAGACTAGCAAACTACAAGATTTTACTTATTCATCATAAGAATAACATGGGAATTTTTAATTTACAATTTTTCGAATTTTCTCCGTAAGTCTCCGTACGTACAAGTTAGCTCCCGAAATGCCTTCCATCTTGTTTTAATTTTTGGTATTGCAGTGGACAGCTAATTATTAGCTAATAGAATGCTAATAGCTAACAGCTGTGGACTGACGTATTCAGTTTTTTATCTGTTAGGATTGTGTTAGCGTAAACTATAATGACTATGATGGTCAATATTTGTTATGAAAAATCGAGTCAAAATGACGAAACACGTAAAAGTATCAATTTTATTATTGTGTGACTTTTGTGGAAAACTTAGAAATCGAAATCCCAAGGGAAGGCGTTAAGGAAATTGAAACGCTGTCAAACGCAGAAAGAATCCATCGAAGAATGAACTTTTGACATCTTTCATACAATTTAAACAGCATTAAGAACATCTTTACGAATTTAACTTTGTCTTAACTCCACAAGAAATCATATTTTCCAGCAACACTCTTAAACGATAAGTTTTAGTAACGTCAAATTTGAGTTTTGTGATATTTACATCAGTTCTTATAAATTGTTTACACAAATTATATACCATTGCAATATGTTTTTTAAACCTGTTTTATATTATTGTAAATTGTGTTACGTATCTACGGTTTGCTTTTAGGATTGCCATATCTATGTTAAATTTGATATGAATAATGATTAATTATGCGAATCATAATTATTTGGAATCTTTTCACTTTTTAACACAAACAATTTGTAGCATTATGCAATATTTTTCCATAGCCGTAATACCTTACAAAAGTACTTATGCTGAGCTTTTTATAGTAAAAAAATGAATAAATATACCGCTGAAAATGTTTTTAAAATATATTTCTTTACAAAAGCATCTTTTATCATACCAAAATGTAATATACTCGCTTTCTTTTGAAATATATCAACATATTTGGTTTATGAAGACTTAGCATCACATAAGGTCTTGCCATGACGAGAAAACCCAAATCCGCAGAAAATACTTTCTCAGAATGAGCAATTCGTCTTTGACAAAAAAGGAACACCGATTATGTTTGATGGATACCTTCAGAATGAAAACTTCTGAGTGCGGGTAACAAATTACGATGGAGAAGGACGGGATATTTAGTTAGAGCTAACTCTTTTAGTCCCCAGGGTGTAGGAAAGTCTTACTTAACAAGGCTGTCTTTCTCTAAAAGCATTGACTTTAGAAAAAAGAGGCTATTCTTGCTGTTTATTAAGTGCGTTGATGTGCACTTAGTTTTCTTTCCAGTTTTAGGGTAAATTATACAATAAATAGCCTATGGCTTAGTGGTTTTTACGAAAAGCCAAGCAGTTGCAAGGTTACATGTCAATGACAGATATTATAATCATTCATTTACGCTATATTTTCCCAGACATAGATATAGAAATTAGCTTGGTAATTTTATTTTCTTTCCCTTGTTTTAATACATACCATATGTCTATCCAAATAAGTTCTCAGAAAATGTATGATAAATATAAAATATCACATATTATTCATCTCTCAGGCACCATTATCTAAATACGTTTAGCAGCAAACCTACATTTTAGTGAAGTAGCCCTGACATGTTCTAAAATTTTTATCCAAAATGAATAATATAGTTTTAAACATTATTTAAAATACCCTTGCCGCATTAAACCGGCAGATTTTCCATTTGCCTGATTTGATTTTTACTAAAATATCTCTTACAAATTTCATATTTACTCTCTATTTAAATAACATTAGTTTAACGAGTTCTTCGGTATTCTGCTACAGGGAATGTAATAAAGTATTTTTTATAGTTAAATGATAATAGTATGGTACGAAATAAAAAAATTTTCCAAATTCCATCGAATTTTGTTAACAAGTAAACTACAACAGTTTGCCTCTTCTTGGTAAGAATAACACGATAATTTTAAATTTACAGTTGTTTTGAAATTGTATCCTTAACCATTACGAGCATGACAATGCTTTGATATACTAAATTATTCATGTTTTCTTTAAGCCCTACAATGTTGTTTAGAAAGAAATTACGAAAAATTGTGTTTTTTTTTTTCAAAAATGGGAAAACCCCATTTTTACCTTATAAAACTCCTCAAAAACCCCCGTTCCCATAGTCAGCATAAAACGTCAAATTAACGGAAAATATGCTGGATCAAGAACTCGTTGGAATAAAAGTACTTATACTTGTTTATACCAAATTTAATCAAAGTCGGATAGTTTTTGCTCGAGTAATCGTGCTAACGGACACATATATATTATACAGGGTTAGTAAAAAGTGTGGAGACCCCCTGTAATTTTTTTAACGGCCCATACTAGAAAAACTAAACTCGGCACACCATTATGGCATGCTATGAAGTACGTTTTGGGCATAACCGCCACTTGGTGTTCATCCCCAAAATGGGGGATTTTCGGGGAAACTCAAATATTTCAAATACAAAGACCCATCTAGTGACCCCTCATTTTGAAGGTCCTGGTAAAAGAAAAACAACAACGCAAACTAGAGGTCTCTATCTCAGTTCAGTACAAAATGGCAGCCAATTGAAATTCTCATAAGTTCCCAAACCCAAAATGGGGGATTTTGGGGGAAACTCAAAAATTTTAAATGATAATCCCAATCGAGTGACCCCTCATTTTTAAGGTCATAATAAAAGAAAACTAACAACGTAAACTATAGGTCTCTATCTTAACACAGTAAAATATGGCAGCCAATTGAATATAAATATGCAAGTTATTTCCGATTTCTAAAGATTTCAATCAGCTTCCATTTTTTACTGGATTGAGATAGAAACCTCTAGTTTGCGTTGTTAGTTTTCTTTTACTAGGACCTTCAAGATGAGGGGTCACTTGATGGGGCTTATTATTTAAAACTTTTGAGTTTCCCCCAAAATCCCCCATTTTGGGTTTGGTAAGCAAGTGGCTATTAGGCTTAAAAAGTGCTTCATAACATGCCAAAAAGGTGTGTAGAGTTTAGTTTTCCTAGTATGAGCCGCTACAAAATTTACAGGGGGTCTCCAGACATGGAAAGCTGCAAGTTAAATTCAACTTCTGAGAATTTCAATTGGCTGCCATTTGTTACTGGATTGAGATAAAGACATCTACTTTGCGTTTTTGGTTTTTTTTTACCAGGACCTTCAAAATGAGGGGTCACTCAATAGGTCTTTGTATTTGAAGTTTTTGAGTTTCCCCCAAAATCCCCCATTTTGGGGATGTACACCAAGTGCCGGTTATGCCAAAAAAGTACTTCATAACATGCCATAAAGGTGTGCCGAGTTTAGTTTTTCTAGTATGAGCTGTTAAAAAAATAGCAGGGGGTCTCCACACTTTTTACTAACCCTGTATAAGTATATATGAATAAAAATATCGATAGCAAAAATAAATCATAGTACTCTTTTTCAAATAACTTTTATTGACTAATGCATTTCAACTCTTAGTTCATGGTCACAGTCACACTTTACTATTCAAAAATAATACACAATCAATAAAAAATTATAGATTATAATAATTAATAGTATTGTGACTGGTACCATGACATACCAGAATGTATAGAAAATTGGCTCTACCACCAAGAATAATTAATTCAGGAACTTAATTTAAATAAGACATTAATAAACTTAATTATTTATCAATAAGCATCATGTACACACTCAATTATTTTTTCCACTGTATTATCTAAGCTAAATTCAAAATGCTAGAAGAGTTTTTAAAAGAAATTTAACATTTTTAGGAACTGTAATTGTATTACCATAGATTAAAGAGTAGACCTCGATTTCATCACTTCTATGACCACCTGTCTACTCCTTAAATAAATATATGACATTACAAAATATTTGAAGACCTTTTGATAGTCAGCCAAGTTCTCCTCCCTGAGAAAATACTGTAATTTATTTTAATCATCAAGACTCTCATTTTATTTTTCTACTCTTGAGCTTAACACCTAAGATGGTGAGCCATTTTGTTTAATTTTAATGGATCCTAATTTTATAACATTGTTTAAAATATTTAAGTGTGTAAACTAAATAACCAATTAGGTAGCGAGGAATTATCTATTACACAAATTTACCTCAAATTTAAACATGGAATCTTATTATCTTAAATACTAATACTCTATATTACATGTGGTTGTGTTATGAATATTATTAGCTGTGTGAGTTTTAGAGCATTTTCAAAATATCTTATTTTACTGAATTCAATATGAAATATCTTCTTTTGCACCCAAAATAAGATATTTCTTATCTGTATTTGATGCATTGTATTGTATTGTATCTGTCTGTGTATTACATTAAAATCCTAATTTTAAATAATATGCTGTTAATTCATCATCCTAATCTATTTTTACAACAACGAATTATTTTGTATTTAATTACAGACCAACAGGTTAATTCAATCTATAAAATTAGGTATCCCATGTAGTTCAAGAACTAAATACACAGTTTAACATCTCGTCATGGACAGACAAAAACAGCAGTTACTGTCAGAACTTTCTGATGCATTGCTTTTCATAATCTGTTACCAAGTTAGCAAGTGGGCGCATGTGGGTAAAATATGTTTTGTCAACAAAGTTAATATAGGGTAGCAGTCTTGAAGTTTCAAAGCAAGTACAGTGTTAAAGTGTCGTTCGACCTGAGAACTCTGAAAGACAACAGTTCGTAGTTTATCATTATTAGTACATTTATCTATTCGTACTAAGATCGAAACTAGCTGTTATATTTCCTAGTCTGTTGATATGATGCATATTTACTTTTGACTAATTTAAATTGTCATATGGTTTTGTTTTGTTGTTGTCATAATAGTTTTATATGAGTTGTTGAAAATAGAAGTGTGGTATTAAAAAGTCTAGTTTTTTCTAATTTTATCTTTATAGTTTTCATCACTTGAAGAAGGTAGGTGTGTAGTGTAAAACAACATTTGGCGACCGTGACAGGACTTGTTTTTCACCTATCTCTATGATGGAAAATCTAAAGAAAAATAGAACAGTATATAGGGCTTATTTTTCTAAAACATTGAACAAACTAAACAGTTTAGTTGAAAATGAAACCACAGACAAAATTGAAATTCAAACCACTCTAAAGCTTTTGGAGATAAAGGTTGATGAACTCCAGGTTTTGAATTCTCAGATCTTTGATTTGTTATTGAATAATGATAATGTTTCTGAAGATAAGCTGTTAGCTGAAACAATCTTAGCTGGAGAATATTTAGCTTTGTTTGAAGCTGTAAAATTAAGAGTCCAGAATGTACTACAACAAAGTAACGATGTAGTTAGTGCTCATTCTGGATCTTGCTGTAACAATGCTAGTAAGAAGAAATTTAAGCTCCCTAAAATTGAGATCAAAAAGTTTGATGGAGAATTGATCAATTGGCTACCTTTCTGGAGTCAGTTTAGCAAAATTCATAGTGACTCAGACATTGATTCAGAAGATAAGTTTCAATATTTATTGCAATCCATAGTTACCGGATCAAGAGCTTTTGATGTAGTTCAGAGTTTTCCTCCAACTGGTGCAAACTATCCAAAAGCAATTGAATGTTTGAAAGCCAGATTTGGTAAAGATGACCTATTGGTAGAGGTTTATGTCAGGGAACTCTTGAAAATTGTTTTACAAAATGCTCTAGGAGGCAAGAACACAATGAACTTACAAAGTTTATATGACAAACTTGAGTCTCATATGCGTGCATTAGATACCTTGGGAGTTACAACAGATAAATGTTCCTCCATGTTATACCCGTTAGTTGAAAGTTGTATGCCTGAAGATCTCTTAAGGGCGTGGCAAAGAAGCCCTTTGAAAGTAGGTACAGACCCTCAGGAAAGACTCAACAATTTAATGAAGTTTATGTTGTCTGAAGTTGAAGGGGAACAGAGAATCGGTCTAGCCATGGCAGGTTTTGGGATAAGTAGCTCTGGGAAGGAGAAATCTTTTAAAAGGTCACCTCAAACTCAACCAGGTAAGATAGACATACCAACAGCTTCATGCCTCATGTCCTCTGGTAAAACTCAAAACTCTTATACAAAGTGTGTCTTTTGTGATAAGAATCATAAGAGTAGTAACTGTTTTGCTGCTCAGAAATTGCCATTGTCTCATAAGGTGTCCACTTTAAAGGAAAAGAGGTGCTGTTTCCTTTGCTTGCAGCCTGGTCACCGTATTAAGAATTGTAGAGCTCATTTGTCATGTTCTAATTGTAAAAGGAAACATTATCCTATAATGTGTCCTAGTATTCATTCCAAAGAAGTAGTGAATGAGTGTGTAAGCAAATGTGTTGATGAGGTATCTAAAGAAATTACAGTAGTGGAAGATACCGCTTTGGCCAATAAATCAAGTAGCAGAGTGAAAGTGTTTCTGCAAACAGTAAGGGCAAGATTAAGAACCCCAGGTAGTAATCAATTTGAGACTGTTCGCATTCTTTTTGATTCTGGTTCACAGCGTTCTTACATTTTAAAGGACTTGGCTGAAAAAATGAATTACGAAAGCTTAGGAGAAGAAACAATCATACACTCTCTTTTTGGTAATGTCAAATCTGGTGAAGTAATTCATAACAGACATCGTGTGTTTCTAACCAGTCAAGATTACAGTTACAACTGCAACTTTGAGGTATTGAGTCAAACTACCATATGTGGGGAAATTCCACCTGTTACCGAAGGTCCCTGGATACAGGAACTTTTAGAGAAAAATGTTTCTCTGACTGACATACATGAGACCGAGCTACCAATTGGTATTTTGATTGGAGCGGATATAGTGGGTAAACTATTCACGAGAAATATGATTCAACTGAAATCTGGACTAGTGGCTATGGAAATTCTGGGATGGACACTGATGGGTAAGGCTATAAGTAGTGGTAGTACAGGTTCAACTACACTCTCCACTGTTGTAACATCAATGTTTATTAATGATGCTGACATATCGGAACTGTGGAGATTAGACACTATAGGCATTACTGATACAAGTGAATCAGTTTCCAAAGAGCAAAAGGCTTTGGCAGTTAAAAAGCATTTTATAAAAACTACCACTATAAATGAAGAAGGTCGATATGAAGTAAGTTTGCCCTGGGTTGATTGTCATCCTCCTTTGCCTAGTAACAGAGAGTTAGCCGAAAAGAGGTTATCAACAGTTGTAAAGAAATTGGATGGTAACAATTTAACCGAAGACTATGACTCAGTTTTTAAACAGTGGTTAAGTGATGGCATCATTGAAGCTGTACCTTCTGACGATTTGAACAACAACTTTCACTACCTGCCACATAGACCTGTAGTGAAGGAGAGTAGTATTACCACACGAATTCGTCCAGTGTTTGATGCATCAGCAAAGACCAAGTTTTCACCCTCATTGAACGACTGTATTGAAAATGGACCAAATTTAATTGAACTGATTCCTTCTGTTATGATGCGTTTTAGGGAAGGGAAGTTTGGAGTTATTGCTGATATAGCAAAAGCCTTCTTACAGATATCGTTAAATGTACAAGATAGAGATTTTCTTCGGTTTTTATGGTTTGACATCAATGAAAGAAGCCGAAGTATTGTTTACCGCCATAAAAGAGTTGTTTTTGGAGTGAAATGTAGTCCATTTCTTCTAGGGGCAGTAATTGATCTGCATCTTCAAAAATCTATGACTTCTCAGGAGTTTGATGATAATGTGGTAAAGAAGCTGAGTAAAAGTTTTTACGTGGACAATGTTTCGACCAGTGTAGATACTTATGAGGAACTAAAACACTTTGTTGAAGAATCGAAACAAGTTATGGCTGCCGCTAAGTTTGATTTAAGAGGATGGCATGCCACGAGCGTCATTGAAGAAGGAGATAACAAGTTCGTCACTAATGTTTTGGGAGTTCAATGGAACTATATTGAGGACGTTCTGTTTTTTAACCTGACGAACTGTATTAAAGATTTGGACGTGTCTCGAATCACAAAGAGAGACATTTTATCCATATCTCACAAGATCTTTGATCCAATTGGTATCCTTTGCCCTGTTACTTTGTTTCCTAAACTTCTTCTGCAAAGTATGTGGGACTTGAAAATTGACTGGGACACTGAAGTAAGTTCAGACATCAGTAAACGATTCATACTGTGGTATAATGAGTTAAGCGCTCTTGAAAAAGTGAAAATACCCCGATGGATAGGTAAAATGAGTATGGATTCAAATGGTTGTAGTATTCATACATTTTGCGACGCAAGTAAAGATGCCTATGCTACAGTTATTTACTTGAGAGTTGAAATTGAAGATGAAGTAAGAGTCCAATTATTGTCTGCAAAATCAAGAGTTGCTCCTCTGAATAAAACTACGATTCCAAGGTTGGAATTATTAACCGCCACGGTGGGAGCACGTCTCACAAGCTGGACTAAAAATCAAAGTTCAAAAAAGGTTCATGTTTGAGTAGTAATACTACTCGGTGGGAGGATGTTATATTTCCTAGTCTGTTGATATGATGCATATTTACTTTTGACTAATTTAAATTGTCATATGGTTTTGTTTTGTTGTTGTCATAATAGTTTTATATGAGTTGTTGAAAATAGAAGTGTGGTATTAAAAAGTCTAGTTTTTTCTAATTTTATCTTTATAGTTTTCATCACTTGAAGAAGGTAGGTGTGTAGTGTAAATCAACACTAGCTTTATCGTTAAACTTTTACCATTGACTATGATATATTGTTCACACTAAATTTTGTCAAGAATTATTTCACTTTCAAATTTGTAAAATATGAAGGTTTCCAGGGTAAATTCCCGAAAGTGTTCAGATATTTACATAACATGTCAGAAATGTTTCATCCAAGTAGTTTGTTTCGACAAAAGTTTTTTTACTATTTGAGCTAAATACAGCGCTACATATTTTCTTGTCAAACGCAACAGTGAATGAGAGTAAGGAATGTATTGTATTGTAAAGATGTTGGAAGGCTGCCAAACTCAGAGAAGAAGTCGACGAAGCGTAAACGTTAGGAAATTGTACAAATGGCTTAAAGCTATTTTTAGATTGGTCGCTTTAAGATATGTTTTGCAAAAAAAAAAAAACGTACAATAACTTAAGCTCTTTCCAAACAACATACTAATAATACTGGAAAATTTCATAGGTTTAGTCAGTAATTAAAATCATAATGGAAGCTTGTTAGATTTGTTTATTTAAGGTGGTTTTTAGTATGTAAACCGAAAAAAGTTGCTTCAATCCCACTTGCTCAGGTAAATAATTGCTTAACACAAACTTATGGGATTTTTTAAATCTTAAGTGAGTTATACAAGTTAAGCGACTTAAAAATGAAATACTAATTTGACTTAAGGAAAATCACTACGGGTATAAGCAATGGCATTCTGTTTGACGTGTAAACTGTATAATTTATTTTACTCGGTTACCTAACACACTTAACACACTGGATAATAAGATACAAAACTAAATAAGGAAAACATATTAATTTTGAATACTAGCTTAATCCGTTCATTGCAATGAGGTAGAATTAGGCTGTAATAATGACGTTAGGTTGTATTAAGTCATATGACGTTCCAACAAAAATGCTAGTGTTACAAACAATTTAATGAAGGTTAAACTTATAGTTTAAATAACTTAAAATTAAAACGATCAACAAAAGTTTATAAAATTTCAAAGATATCAGTTAAACTTTGGTTGCATATGTATCGACAAGTGGAGGTTTATAACCATAAACACGTAGTTTATTTTGTCAATTTAGTTAGGACAACATTTATAAATTTGTCTTTCTGTTTACATAGAAATTAATCAATAAAATACATTTAGTAATTTTCAAATGATAACTTTGAAACTATCACTAGGCATCATTGAGTTATTTAATTTCATGAGAGAATAATTAGTTTTTAAGTATATGCAGAGCACTAATTAAGTTTCGTGCTAAGCACATACATACATTTTAATTAATACATATTTTAGTCTATTTATAGCTATCGTTTGTGATTCGCATTAATTTTTAAATTGCATTTTTAAAACGCTAGCGTATCATGGATTATACTGTTTTTCCTTGACGAAGGCTTCGTAATCCTCAAACGTCCATGTTTCCCATCCATCGGGCTTTTCTTTCAGTGCGGAAAGTCCTTAAAAACAAGAGGGAAAGTTTGATCAATGGATGTATTATATGTTTTATCTTTATACTGGGTAGAAAGAAGTAAGTGTTTAAAAACTGCGCTAAACTACTAAGTTTTGGTGACAAAATGGCACCAATTTATGTTTTTATACCGTACAGGTGGGAATAACAGACAAATTAAGAAACAAAAAAATATTTATATTTGCTTACATAACATGGCCATAAATGCACTAATCATTGCTTTTATTTCAAATTTAATGTCTTTTTCAGAATCCTCTTTAAACTCTTCAATCGTAATAGTACAGATTAATTCAAATAAAACATCTGTGTAAGCCCTTATTCTGCAATGGAAGTTTAAGTTTGTGATTTTTGAGAGAGAAAAAATTATTAGCTTTTCCAAAGTGTTTTTTGTTTATTATGACACTGTACTGTAGATACTTTCAAATATTACTAAAAGCTTTTCCAGTTATTAACCTTTAAAACGATGTAATAATACTTACTGTTTATTTTTATTTTATACTCTTAAATGTAAGCATTTCTCTTAAAAAACACGAAATTTCCAAAATCGCGTACCTTTAAAATGACATATATTTGGATGAATAAAATGGCAATAGCTGCATTAAATTTTAAATGCTGTTTATATCAAGCAAAAATAGTTTTAAATACACCCAATTCCTTAAAAATGGTATACAACTGCACAGTCCCTCAAGGAGTTTTTGCTGGTTTCAATGTTACTTAAAAATCCAAAGAAACTTTTGTAACTCATCTTTTAAAGACGTTAGACTGCTTTTGGGAAAATGTTTAATCCATTAATTCTTTCCATATTTTAACAGTTAACCTATTATGGTGTTTCTTGCGAAAGTAAATTAGGCCACTACTTAGTGAGACCAATATATGTTCACATCAAAGTCGAAAGAATTGTTTTTGTGAGTTTTTATAGTACATAACATGTTTGCTCTGATATGCACTTCAAATAATACTTCTAACAGCATGCTGGAAAAAGAAAAGTTTTACAATAAGTTATTTTAATAGTACAAATAATTATAAGTATATTATACTTTATATGACCTTACCTTTCGTATTGAATGCATATTCGACCACTGCAGCTGCTACTTTAACTGAACATGTTCTTAAGTGTTTAGGTTCGGGGTACAGGCTTCCGTTTTCAAAATCGCTTTTCTGCAAACACTTGTATGCAAGAGTCTGAAACGAGTTTACGGTTGAATCGCTTTTAAGAACCTAAGTTTGCGACTAAAGTCCAACTGTTGTAATATTTAGCAACACTGAAATAGTTATATTTGTATATTAATTTTTAATAAACTATACGTCTAACTTTTGTTTTATTTTTACATTTGAGTGAACATAAAAATGTTATCTTTGGTTTAATAATAGCTCACCATTTAACTATTATTAACTATATTTATGTAAAACAATTTATAATTTAATAATCATTAAAATAAAAGTCAATTAAAAAGAGATCGATAAATAGAGGTCAAAGTTTTTTTAATAAAATTATGTGAACATTAGTGAACTATTTTAACCTGTTCTGCCTTTTTTATTGTTGAAGATGTTTGTATTAACTTTGTAAATTAACATGGTTTTGGCCCTCTTCTTTAATCGATACTTGAAGGGAGTTTAATTATATTACCGTGTAGTTTCGTATGTCAAAGTAATTTACATAATGGTTTAGGTACTCTCTCAAATGTTCCAGAGTGTTTAAAAAAGGTGGGGACATTGTCATTCCTTGGACCAAAGTAAGCAAAACCATTTATACAAACATAATACGTTCATAGGGATAAATGATATATCTCGTTTCGTTTAGTGTCTCTATCTGTACGGGTTTTTACAAAAAACATTCATAACTCCGCAGGCACATTCTTTCTTACAGGCAGAAAGTATGACAGGATTTGGTCTTAACTCCGCCAGGCTAAGAATCTCAAGAAGGTCAGATAGTTGAAACTAAATAATTTATAAATAAAAATACTTTTTAAAATTGCCACGTTTTTAAACGCACTAAAAAGTATAAAATAATTTATAAAATGTTGAGAGAATAAATACTTGTAAGATATAAAACGTAAGCGTGGGGCGCATGCTGAACCTTCACCTATTGAACTATTATGATCTATTGCATGCGCCCCACGTTTTTCGTTTTAAATCTTACAAGTATTTATTCTCTCAACATTTTATAAATTATTTTATACTTTTTAGTGCGTTTAAAAACGTGGCATTTTTAAAAAGTATTTTTATTTATAAATTATTTTCTAGTTTTTAGTCTTTAATGTGTAAATATGTTAAATCTATTTTATATAGCCTCTTAATACATAAGCAAAACCCAAAACCTTATTATCTGTAATCAGATGTTTTATCTTTACTTTGAAATGATTGTTTTATATATTTTTTTAAATATCTTGGGAGCAGAACCTGTACCTCTTAACCTCTGCTCTTCTAACTGTCAAATTTAAGTATTTACAGCTGACTTAAATTAATTTATATGTTTACGTTCTTTTAAAATGTAAACATGGAAAATTTGGAAGCCAAAGGGGCGTAGCCCAAGGGAAATATGAAAATAAAATTATATAATATTGCATTGTCATCCGTTTGTGAGCTATGTTTCAAGTTTCAAGTCTCTAGCTCATCGGGAACTTCGTTTAAAATTGGTATAAAAATTTGTAGGAAAGCGAGCTAATAAAAACAAGCCCTTGGGGCGTAGTCCAAGGGAAATATGAAAATTAAATTATATAATAATGTATTCTCATCCATTTATGAGCTATGTTTCAAATTTCAAGTCTCTAGCTCATGGGGAAGTATCAAAATTTGCAAGAAAGCGGTTTAATAAAAACAAGCCCATGGGGCGTAGCCCAAGGGAAATATGAAAATTAAATGATATAATATTGCATTGTCTTCCATTTGTGAGCTATGTTTCAAGTTTCAAATCTCTAGCTCGTCGGGAAGTTAGTATAAAATTGATTTCAAAATTTGTACCGGACAAGAAAGCGAGCTAATAAAAACGTTTAAAAAAACAAGAAACCTCTAATTATTTAACTTTAATGGTTTTTTACGTGTTTTTTTTTTATATTTATTTATACCACTGAAAATACATCTACTAGTTTAATATGCTCTTCAAATGTAAAATTCTAATAGACTTAAGAGGTTTGAACTTGTTGTGTTTAAAATAACAATTTGAGAAAACAAAAAATGTATCAGTTTTTTTCACTATAAATTACTCTTCGTGTAATTTCAGTATGGACAAGTTTAATTTTTTGCCATTAGATTTATGTGTTTCCTCGCGTTTGCAGAATTCACTTAAAAGTAATTACTAACATCAATAGGTAATAAGCTAATAAATCAAATAGATACATACGCTGATAGCACAGAAATTGAATAAAACATAACAATGAATAAACTGTTGAGAAGGCAGAGCAAGACAATACATGCGTAAAAGTCTTGTGTTCTGTACAAGTTAAAAATATACACTCCATCGTTTTTTTTTTTTTGTGAAAAAGTTAACTGATGATTCTTAAAATAGTTTTACTATACCGCAGAATAAGATGTGAAACATCCTGGCCAAACTTATAGGCCTATGTTGTTTGGAAATTCTATATTAACCTATTCACATAAACAGATGTAGTTTCACGCGCAATCTCCTTACGACGGTTAAGCATGACAATATTTAAACGATTAGACTTTTACCATTTTCTCTTAAAAAAAATTCAATCCCCGTCCCAATAGACAAACAGTAGGTATACAAACCATAATAACTAGCATGTATCTAACGCAAATGGAATACCGGTACCGGAATATTTACAATATATACTTACAATATATATACTTACAATATACTTATTATATATTACTTATTACTTATTATACAGGGTGATTGACCCTGGTGGGTGATTGAAGTGTGCCAGCCGTTTTATTCGAAAACTACAAGAGATATCAAAAAAAGTTAAAAGGTAAGTGCCTTGGATTTGTTATTTAAAAAATTGAATTCAAGTCAAAGACATTATTTTAGCCGCCATTTTTCCAATATGGCCACCAACTTTGATTTTTCTTAAGGAACATCCCTGTATTTTATGATGTATTCTGGTAGAAAATGTAATTTTAAGACGATTTTATTCTTGTGATTTTTTTTTTATAAACCTAACCGTTTCAAAGATAATAAAAGTTAAAGTTAAAGTTTTGAAATTTCTGCATGAGAAAGAGTTTCGATAAAGGCCTAAGCAAGCATGCCAGCTGTTTTATTTGAAAACCATACAAAATTTCACAACTTAAACCATTATTATCTTTGGAACGGTTAGGTTTATAAATAAATTACAAGAATAAAATCGTCTTAAAATTACATTTTCTACCAGAATACATCATAAAATACAGGGTGTTCCATAAGAAAAATCAAAGTTGGCGGTCATATTGGAAAAATGGCGGCTAAAATGATTTTTTTGACTTGACTACAATCTTTTAAATAAAAAATCTAAGGCACTTACCATTTAACTTTTTTTGATATCTCTTATGGTTTTCGAATAAAACGGCTGGCACACTTATATCAATCACCCTGTATAGGTAACATGGAAAAGCTATTGTTGACTGATGGTATTAACCATAAGTTGATAAGTTTGTCTACTAGCCTCACACACTATTACTGATACACCTTGTTTGGTGGTGAGTTGTTTGTGTTTATTTAGGTACAATTCTTTCCTTTGGATTAAATTATTGGGTCAGATGAAGTTATAAATAACTAAACATAAGGTTCATTAACTCAAACTAAACATAACTTACCTCTGCGGAAAGCAAAAACACATGTTCAGGAACTTTCACCATTTCCGCCACAACTATACCTAGAGCCACACCTGGGAAGATGTTATCATTGTTACACTGTGCTGGTTTTAAATGTTTCCCATTAGGATTTGAAAGTTCGTGCCCCAAAGACTGGAGTACTTCGTTGTCCACGTAGACAGGGGCAAAGGGAGATCCGCTTGCGAAGAAGCACCCCTTCAAAATACATATATACGTTATATTAAGAGAAAATAAATATCAGGATGGTTGCCTTAAAATCTATTGATAAGAGGACTGAAAAGGAATAAAATCTGGCTGGTATTTTTTTAACTGTAGCGAGGATTACATTTTTGTTTTGGCAAAAATAACGTTACTTATCAAATCAATATGTGAGTTACCGAGACTTAACTTTCAACTGAGTTAATAAAAAAGTAATTAAGTAAGTTAAGTAAAAAGTAGTTTTGACCAAAGGTATAGAATGAAATAAATATGCAAAGTTTATTCAACATACATCCATAAACAAGTAAACTATAACAGTTTTCAATTTCTCCATAAGAATTACACGGGTATTTAAAATTTACACTTTGAATTTTCTTCGTAACCATTAGGCATATAACACTGCTTCAATATACTAAACTATATCTTTTTTAAGCTCTATAAAATGGTTGAGAAATAAATTCAAAAATGTTATGTTTTTAGGGTCAAAAATGGGAAAACCCAATTTTTACCAAATAAAACCCCCGTTCCCAGGTCCGATCATGCTGGTTCACGAACTTGTTTGAATGAATGTAGGTTTACACGTTTATACCAAATTTCATCAAAATCGGATTGTTTTTGTTCGAGTTATCGTGCTAACGGACATGAAATAAGTATTCTTGTGATTAGGGCTACTAACAATTGAAAGCATTAGTACCCTTTTAGTTCATTATAATTATCAAACATTATTCATATATATATATATATACAGTATATATATATATATGAATTTGAACGGATGGTGTTTTTGGCCTCTGGGGACCTCAAAACGAAAAATCAAATCGGTCCCAGGCCCAGGTCTTACCATGAGACCTATGTTAATGGCGTATTCCCTATATGGGGAATTAGCTAAAAGATCTATTTACAAACGACAGATCGTACTCTGGTTCTTTAACTAGAAAGTAAATTACAAATCATAAAATTAACGAGATTAATCAGTGTGGCAGATTGCGTGTAATAAATATAAAGGTTACTTACAGTCTTCGCAATCCTGTAAATTGAGCACTACGGCCGTTTCGGAGCTAACTCCATCGTCGGGTGCGTAGTCATCATACACTAATCTGAACTATTTACATATTTATATTTTTTACGTGGTTTCTTCATTTTCATTGCGTCAAAGTTTAATAAATAGTACATACAACACAAAACACGGACACGACACGAAAACATTAAGGCACGTGCACGGCTAAAAACTGACGACCGACTGAACACATATTTATACACATATTTATTCAGTCGGCCGTCAGGTTTTAGGCGTGCACGTGCCTTAATGTTTTCGTGTCGTGTCCGTGTTTTGTGTTGTATGTACTACCTATTTATTAAACTTTGACGCAATGAAAATGAAGAAATCACGTAAAAAATGTAAATATGTAAATAGTTCAGATTAGTGTATGATGACTACGCACCCGACTTATGGAGTTATCTCCGAAACGGCCGTAGTGCTCAATTTACAGGATTGCGAAGACTGTAAGTAACCTTTATATAAAATTAACCGTAAAAAGGGCAGTTATTTCGTTGACCCTCCGTCTTGACTTACCGTCGACACCAGTCTGAGTTAGCCTATGATAATGAGGGTGAAAAAGCCTTTATTTTATTTTTACCTTAGCATATTTGTAAGCTTCTTCAGCTGTACATTCTGACTTGGACGTAGGGTTGCTGAGGGGCATGATTATGGGTCTAACCTCCTTATTTACTGCAGCCATGTTTTCGAGGACCTTAGGCGTAAAAAGACCTTGAACTCCAGAGACACCTGAAACAGTTTGGATAGTCAAACAAATTGTTTGTGAATATGATTCATATTTGTTAGGTATACATACAATTAGTTCATTAACCAAAAATATACATCACGATAAAGAGCCGAAATATTATACTTTCTACAGCCTACCTTATCAATACTACATGTTCTTATGTTTAGAAAAGTTAAAGTATAATCGTGATTCATCGCAGTGGTTTATAATTGGCCTTATTTTAATTGTAATAGGATCTTTGAAATGTGTGCTTAAGTAGTAACGTTTGTTATCTAGTACAATTTACTTCAGAGTTTTTCAATATGATAAATGACTGGGCACACACTTTAGCCCGGAACACAACTCGCTAACAACGTTTGAAATATAGACCATGTTTAGGAACCAAGATCGGAAATACATTAAACATATAATTGATAAAAAAACAAAAAAAGCAGAACAACTTGAATTCGTTAACACGTTCAGAGCTGACTACATAAATTGATGTAGTACGTCACGAGCGCACATGGCGGACTACATCAATTGATGTAGTACGTCACGAGCGCCCATGGCGGACTACATCAGTTGATGTACCGGAAGTGACGTCACCAATAATGACCAAAATGGGGGCCTGGGGATCTAATGACATTTTGGATGCATTCACATCATTTACTTGGGGAGTTATCAATAATCATATTTCAGCACTTTAGGCACGCAATACTAACCCATTTCAGCACTGAATGTGGTTTTGGGTTTAGCCTTATGTCTGTTTAGTGTTAAAATTTCACGTATGGAGGACATATTGAGGCCTGTGTTTTAATATTTTGGTGAACATTTCCACAAAAATAAAGAAGTACTCAAACAATGCACGACAGTTTAAAATAGCTCTACACAATAAGCAATCACGTGTAACTCAGGTAACGCTATTACTAACCTTCGAGATGGAAATTTTACAGCGATTTCCTCATTTACAAAGAGTAAGTCCTAAGGTAGAGCCTTTAGTTGTAGTTTTGATGAATATTTTTTATAATGAAACAATCTATGATCCCTATACAGCGTAAAAGGACATGTGACCGCCATTTTTACATAAACGTAATACATTTAAATGTGTCAAGTAGTTTCTTAAATAGAAAACTCCAATGTTTTTAAATTCCATAGATCAATACTTTTAAATAATTTTTTTTAGTACAGAATACTTTAAATTAAAAACCACCCAACAGTCCAAAAAAGAGTTATACCCCACACAAATTCACAGATATTTGTAATTTTATAAGGAAAATGTTACTTGAATCTTCAACTGTCAGAAAAAATAAGGACAACGCTGTCAATCGATTCCATTATGGCTTAATGATTTGCTTACCAATGAGTATATTTGGCTTTAACCATAGTATTATGTTTTCGAGATTCTCAAAGTCGTTTGGTTCCTCATTATGACAGAACTTTCTCCTTCCATCATTTTCATCGAATGGAGTTGGATGACCTGTAAAAAGTAGTTAAGTAGTATGATCACCGATATAAATGTAATCGTTACTCACATAACATGACATTAAGCTCATTAAAACTCATTCAACTAAAGTCTTGCATTCCCAGACTATTGCTATTAGCATAAAAAAAGAAATCATATTGATTGTAGTATTTTATTTGTTAAACCGTATTCAATAGTTACTTTACGCAGGTTTTCCTTTAGTATTTATTATTTTAATGTCCATCAGAGATCAAAAAGTTGTATGTCAAAAATTCAATGTCTGTATAATAAAATATATTTATTTGAAATATATTACTGTTGTATTAAGTCTGTTCTTTTTATAAAACAAGATGTGTGATTTATATTCTTGGATTAGAAATAAAACAATTACTACTTATATTTTTCTGATATTTACCACATTTCTCAGAGGTTAAAAGTCCGTACACGTCCTTCATATATATCTTCTTCCTGTTTTTCTCTATATCACCCCCCTCCATGGCTTGCACTATTAGTGTCCCAATCCCAAGTGCGGCCTAAAAAGTAAAGTGTATCTACAGAAACTCTTTATTAAAATTCCTCAGTCGTCTTTAATCGGGCTTGGATTGTATCCTCGCAATTCTGTAATTTATGTAGTATTACATTCATATGTATGGAGATTTTATGAGCCAGAGCTGGTACTTCTTGCACCTCTTTCGTTAAAATTTCTAAATTATTTCCGAGAAATTTACAATTTTGAGATTGATGTCTGAATGAGCTATATTAATAATTCAAAGTTTTCTAACGTTAGACAGTTTTAAAAGAGAACTATTGTGACGTTATCATCTTGTTGAAGATCATAAATCAACGTAATCTACTAATAAGTTGACTAAAATTACTCACTGAGCCAGCCCCTACGAATAGAACCTTAGCGTCATCTATCTTGGTGTTCCTGAACCTCGCCGCTGCCAAGATCCCCGCCACAGCGGTAGCAGCTGTCCCTTGGATATCGTCGTTGAACACTGTGTACTTATCCTGGTAACGCTTTAGTATTGGGTAGGCGGTGGGGTTTGCAAAGTCCTCAAACTAAACAAAATATATTACGATTAACTACCAATTAAAACAACGATATTTTGAGACTGTAAAAAGAAAAAGCGTGTTCTTTTAGTTCATAATTTCATAAGAATATCTTAAATATTTTTAAAGATATAAATATAAAACACATAAAAGAAATTAATTAGTGGATATCCCGCTAACAAGGCATTTTGACAAAAATTATTCTTTTGATTTTCGTTTTATTTTGACTCAAACCCCTATTCCAGAATTTTTGTACTAACCTATGGGACATTCTGTATACCTATATTACATATAAGATATAATATTAAAGATTGTGTTATTAAGTATAAGAGACATTATTTTTATAATTGGCCTTGTTTTCTTAGAGAAGGTGAAGAAGAGAGAAACAGTGGGAGGAGCATAGGCTTAACCAAAACATGTAAGATGAAAACAGGCAGAAGCCAGGGATTTCATAGGTACAGCATCATGCTCGTAGTTTTACATGGGAAGAGCCATGGTCCTATTCAGCAAACAAAGAGAATTTTAGCACGTGTAAATAATTTTACTTGTTATGCATTTTGTGTATTCACGTGGATTAAGCGAATTAATAGCCACGATAACAAAATACCCCGCCGCAGCAAACCTGCACACTCAATAAGCCTGCTGGATTCTCACTGAAATACTTCCTGAATCATGTAAAATGTCTTTTTGTGTTAATAGCATTAAGTTACACAAGTACTTAGGTTTGCTGCTACAGGGAAGGCAATAAATCATTTTTATGAAATGGGAATAGTATAAGATTAAAGAAATAAATGTGTTAATTAAAATCATGAAAATGTGAAACTCACTAATAGAATATAAGTAATTTTCAAGTTATATCGTTTTGAATTTGATTTCATTATGTCTGATTGAAACCACAATCTGATGAAAGTTATGTATTCAATCTTAAATTAAGTGAATTGCAGGGACATAAGTCCCTAATAATCTCAAATCTAAAACAAATTAAATTGGCTCACATTTTCTTTACGTTAGAATAGATATCCCTGTACACCATATCCCTTGTGTAAAAAAACAGTATCTTTGTTACCTTTTGCAAATGTTATTTTCAATAAATAATTTGTATCATTCCAGAGGTTTAACTCTGCTAAAAGCACCATCATATAATTGTTTGTGGATAATTGTAAGTAAATAATATCTTTTAGATATTTTTAGTGATGGCAGAATTTATCTAAATTATTTGTCTATCAGTAAAAACCTCCACGCACTCAATCAACAGAACAAAAATTAGAATAAGAATGAAAAAATATATTTTGTATTCACATGTCTAAAATAACAAAGTGGGGTTTTCAACCCCAAGGCACTTTAAATTGAAGATATTGTTCGTTATTTCTCATTTTCTGGTAGATTTGTTCATAATCTGGCATATTCCCTCCCATTATCATGCGAGCTGTCAAACTCTCACTATTTTGATTTTAGGAATTCACCAACAGAATTAATATTATAAATTATACCTAAACCCTTTTTAACATTCATAAAACTGCGTACGGAGTTTCAAACGCATTTAAATCGTCCTACCTGGATCAGCGTAGTTTTTCCGTAGACTTCTATAACGGCTTTAACGAACTCGTCAATGAAATCATCGTACTCTTTATCTTTTATTCTTCCCATGTCTATACCAATGTACTTATGTTTCTTGACTCCTCGTAGTTCCTGCAACACAGGTTTGTTACATGAAAATCGAACAATATAAAATTGTTAACGTACACTCAAATTATACCAAAAACGAGTCTAACAGCATCATATTCTAGTTTTCATCTATTAGGCCTGTGGTTGAGACATAGGCCTACAACGTTTACCTCTGTGTCGATTCTGACATCCATGGTGACCGCTAGACACACTGCAGGGTCTATACCACCAAGAGCCTTACGTCCTAGGATGTGAAGGTCAGACATACAACGTATACCTCTGTGTCGGTTTTGACATCCAGTGTGACCGGTAGACACACTGCAGGGTCTGTACCACCAAGAGCCTTACGTCCTAGGATGTGAAGGTCAGACATACAACGTATACCTCTGTGTCGGTTTTGACATCCAGGGTGACCGGTAGACACACTACAGGGTCTGTACCACCAAGAGCCTTACGTCCTAGGATGTGAAGGTCAGACATACAACGTATACCTCTGTGTTGGTTCTGACATCCAGGGTGACCGGTAGACACACTACAGGGTCTGTACCACCAAGAGCCTTACGTCCTAGGATGTGAAGGTCAGACATACAACGTATACCTCTGTGTTGGTTCTGACATCCAGGGTGACCGGTAGACACACTACAGGGTCTATACCACCAAGAGCCTTACGTCCTAGGATGTGAAGGTCAGACATACAACGTATACCTCTGTGTCGGTTTTGACATCCAGTGTGACCGGTAGACACACTGCAGGGTCTATACCACCAAGAGCCTTACGTCCTAGGATGTGAAGGTCAGACATACAACGTATACCTCTGTGTCGGTTTTGACATCCAGTGTGACCGGTAGACACACTGCAGGGTCTATACCACCAAGAGCCTTACGTCCTAGGATGTGAAGGTCAGACATACAACGTATACCTCTGTGTCGGTTTTGACATCCAGTGTGACCGGTAGACACACTGCAGGGTCTATACCACCAAGAGCCTTACGTCCTAGGATGTGAAGGTCAGACATACAACGTATACCTCTGTGTTGGTTCTGACATCCAGGGTGACCGGTAGACACACTACAGGGTCTATACCACCAAGAGCCTTACGTCCTAGGATGTGAAGGTCAGACATACAACGTATACCTCTGTGTTGGTTCTGACATCCAGGGTGACCGGTAGACACACTGCAGGGTCTATACCACCAAGAGCCTTACGTCCTAGGATGTGAAGGTCAGACATACAACGTATACCTCTGTGTCGGTTTTGACATCCAGTGTGACCGGTAGACACACTGCAGGGTCTGTACCACCAAGAGCCTTACGTCCTAGGATGTGAAGGTCAGACATACAACGTATACCTCTGTGTTGGTTCTGACATCCAGGGTGACCGGTAGACACACTACAGGGTCTATACCACCAAGAGCCTTACGTCCTAGGATGTGAAGGTGAGACATACAATGTTTACCTCTGTGTCAGTTCTGACATCCAGGGTGACCGGTAGACACACTACAGGGTCTGTACCACCAAGAGCCTTACGTCCTAGGATGTGAAGGTCAGACATACAACGTATACCTCTGTGTTGGTTCTGACATCCAGGGTGACCGGTAGACACACTACAGGGTCTATACCACCAAGAGCCTTACGTCCTAGGATGTGAAGGTGAGACATACAATGTTTACCTCTGTGTCAGTTCTGACATCCAGGGTGACCGGTAGACACACTACAGGGTCTATACCACCAAGAGCCTTACGTCCTAGGATGTGAAGGTGAGACATACAATGTTTACCTCTGTGTCGGTTCTGACATCCAGTGTGACCGGTAGACACACTGCAGGGTCTGTACCACCAAGAGCCTTACGTCCTAGGATGTGAAGGTGAGACATACAATGTTTACCTCTGTGTCGGTTCTGACATCCAGGGTGACCGGTAGACACACTACAGGGTCTATACCACCAAGAGCCTTACGTCCTAGGATGTGAAGGTCAGACATACAACGTATACCTCTGTGTCAGTTCTGACATCCAGGGTGACCGGTAGACACACTACAGGGTCTGTACCACCAAGAGCCTTACGTCCTAGGATGTGAAGGTGAGACATACAATGTTTACCTCTGTGTCAGTTCTGACATCCAGGGTGACCGGTAGACACACTACAGGGTCTATACCACCAAGAGCCTTACGTCCTAGGATGTGAAGGTCAGACATACAACGTATACCTCTGTGTCAGTTCTGACATCCAGTGTGACCGGTAGACACACTACAGGGTCTATACCACCAAGAGCCTTACGTCCTAGGATGTGAAGGTGAGACATACAACGTATACCTCTGTGTCAGTTCTGACATCCAGGGTGACCGGTAGACACACTACAGGGTCTATACCACCAAGAGCCTTACGTCCTAGGATGTGAAGGTGAGACATACAATGTTTACCTCTGTGTCAGTTCTGACATCCAGGGTGACCGGTAGACACACTACAGGGTCTATACCACCAAGAGCCTTACGTCCTAGGATGTGAAGGTGAGACATACAACGTATACCTCTGTGTCAGTTCTGACATCCAGGGTGACCGGTAGACACACTACAGGGTCTATACCACCAAGAGCCTTACGTCCTAGGATGTGAAGGTCAGACATACAACGTATACCTCTGTGTTGGTTCTGACATCCAGGGTGACCGGTAGACACACTACAGGGTCTATACCACCAAGAGCCTTACGTCCTAGGATGTGAAGGTCAGACATACAACGTATACCTCTGTGTCAGTTCTGACATCCAGGGTGACCGGTAGACACACTACAGGGTCTATACCACCAAGAGCCTTACGTCCTAGGATGTGAAGGTGAGACATACAATGTTTACCTCTGTGTCAGTTCTGACATCCAGGGTGACCGGTAGACACACTACAGGGTCTATACCACCAAGAGCCTTACGTCCTAGGATGTGAAGGTGAGACATACAATGTTTACCTCTGTGTCGGTTCTGACATCCAGTGTGACCGGTAGACACACTGCAGGGTCTGTACCACCAAGAGCCTTACGTCCTAGGATGTGAAGGTGAGACATACAATGTTTACCTCTGTGTCGGTTCTGACATCCAGGGTGACCGGTAGACACACTACAGGGTCTATACCACCAAGAGCCTTACGTCCTAGGATGTGAAGGTCAGACATACAACGTATACCTCTGTGTCAGTTTTGACATCCAGTGTGACCGGTAGACACACTACAGGGTCTATACCACCAAGAGCCTTACGTCCTAGGATGTGAAGGTGAGACATACAATGTTTACCTCTGTGTCGGTTCTGACATCCAGGGTGACCGGTAGACACACTACAGGGTCTGTACCACCAAGAGCCTTACGTCCTAGGATGTGAAGGTGAGACATACAATGTTTACCTCTGTGTTGGTTCTAACATCCAAGGTGACCGGTAGACACACTACAGGGTCTATACCACCAAGAGCCTTACGTCCTAGGATGTGAAGGTCAGACATACAACGTATACCTCTGTGTCGGTTTTGACATCCAGTGTGACCGGTAGACACACTACAGGGTCTATACCACCAAGAGCCTTACGTCCTAGGATGTGAAGGTCAGACATACAATGTTTACCTCTGTGTCGGTTCTAACATCCAGGGTGACCGGTAGACACACTACAGGGTCTATACCACCAAGAGCCTTACGTCCTAGGATGTGAAGGTCAGACATACAATGTTTACCTCTGTGTCGGTTCTAACATCCAGGGTGACCGGTAGACACACTACAGGGTCTATACCACCAAGAGCCTTACGTCCTAGGATGTGAAGGTCAGACATACAATGTTTACCTCTGTGTCGGTTCTAACATCCAGGGTGACCGGTAGACACACTACAGGGTCTATACCACCAAGAGCCTTACGTCCTAGGATGTGAAGGTCAGACATACAACGTATACCTCTGTGTCGGTTTTGACATCCAGTGTGACCGGTAGACACACTACAGGGTCTATACCACCAAGAGCCTTACGTCCTAGGATGTGAAGGTGAGACATACAATGTTTACCTCTGTGTCGGTTCTGACATCCAGTGTGACCGGTAGACACACTGCAGGGTCTGTACCACCAATAGCCTTACGTCCTAGGATGTGAAGGTCAGACATACAACGTATACCTCTGTGTCAGTTCTGACATCCAGGGTGACCGGTAGACACACTGCAGGGTCTGTACCACCAATAGCCTTACGTCCTAGGATGTGAAGGTCAGACATACAACGTATACCTCTGTGTCGGTTTTGACATCCAGTGTGACCGGTAGACACACTACAGGGTCTATACCACCAAGAGCCTTACGTCCTAGGATGTGAAGGTGAGACATACAATGTTTACCTCTGTGTCGGTTCTGACATCCAGTGTGACCGGTAGACACACTGCAGGGTCTGTACCACCAAGAGCCTTACGTCCTAGGATGTGAAGGTGAGACATACAATGTTTACCTCTGTGTCGGTTCTAACATCCAGGGTGACCGGTAGACACACTGCAGGGTCTGTACCACCAAGAGCCTTACGTTCTAGGATTTGAAGGTCAGACACACAACGTTTACCTCTGTGTCGATTCTGACATCCAGAGTGACCGGTAGACACACTGCAGGGTCTGTACCACCAAGAGCCTTACGTCCTATGATGTGAAGGTCAGACATACAACGTTTACCTCTGTGTTGGTTCTGACATCCAGGGTGACCGGTAGACACACTGCAGGGTCTGTACCACCAAGAGCCTTACGTCCTATGATGTGAAGGTCAGACATACAACGTTTACCTCTGTGTCAGTTCTGACATCCAGGGTGACCGGTAGACACACTGCAGGGTCTGTACCACCAAGAGCCTTACGTCCTATGATGTGAAGGTCAGACATACAACGTATACCTCTGTGTCAGTTCTGACATCCAGGGTGACCGGTAGACACACTGCAGACCAACAATAACCTTACGTCCTAGGATCTGAAGGTGAAACATACAATGTTTACCTCCGTGTCGGTTCTGACATCCAGAGTGACCAGTAGACATACTGCAGGGTCTATACCACCAAGAGCCTTACGTCCTAGGATGTGAAGGTCAGACATACAACGTTTACCTCTGTGTCAGTTCTAACATCCAAGGTGACCGGTAGACATACTGCAGGGTCTACACCAACAATAACCTTACTTCCTAGGATGTGAAGGTAAAACATACAATGTTTACCTCTGTGTTGGTTCTAACATCCAAGGTGACCGGTAGACATACTGCAGGGTCTACACCAACAATAACCTTACTTCCTAGGATGTGAAGGTAAAACATACAATGTTTACCTCTGTGTTGGTTCTAACATCCAAGGTGACCGGTAGACATACTGCAGGGTCTACACCAACAATAACCTTACTTCCTAGGATGTGAAGGTAAAACATACAATGTTTACCTCTGTGTTGGTTCTAACATCCAAGGTGACCGGTAGACATACTGCAGGGTCTACACCAACAATAACCTTACTTCCTAGGATGTGAAGGTAAAACATACAATGTTTACCTCTGTGTTGGTTCTAACATCCAAGGTGACCGGTAGACATACTGCAGGGTCTACACCAACAATAACCTTACTTCCTAGGATGTGAAGGTAAAACATACAATGTTTACCTCTGTGTTGGTTCTAACATCCAAGGTGACCGGTAGACATACTGCAGGGTCTACACCAACAATAACCTTACTTCCTAGGATGTGAAGGTAAAACATACAATGTTTACCTCTGTGTTGGTTCTAACATCCAAGGTGACCGGTAGACATACTGCAGGGTCTACACCAACAATAACCTTACTTCCTAGGATGTGAAGGTAAAACATACAATGTTTACCTCTGTGTCGGTTCTGACATCCAGGGTGACCGGTAGACATACTGCAGGGTCTTTACCACCAATAACCTTACGTCCTAGGATGTGAAGGTGAAACATACAACGTTTACCTCTGTGTCAGTTCTGACATCCAGTGTGTCCGGTAGACACACTGCAGGGTCTGTACCACTAAGAGCCTTACGTCATAGGATGTGAAGGTTATCACAACAACAACGTTTATCACTGTGTCGATTCTGACATCCAGGGTGACCGGTAGACACACTGCAAGACTATACCACTAAGTGCCTTACGTTCTAGGATGTGAACGTGGGACATACAACGTTTACCTCTGTGTCGGTTCTGACATCCAGGGTGACCGGTAGACACACTGCAAGACTATACCACCAAGCACCTTACGTTCTAGGATGTGAACGTGGGACATACAACGTTTACCTCTGTGTCGGTTCTGACATCCAGGGTGACCGGTAGACACACTGCAAGACTATACCACCAAGCACCTTACGTTCTAGGATGTGAACGTGGGACATACAACGTTTACCTCTGTGTCGGTTCTGACATCCAGGGTGACCGGTAGACACACTGCAAGACTATACCACCAAGCACCTTACGTTCTAGGATGTGAACGTGGGACATACAACGTTTACCTCTGTGTCGGTTCTGACATCCAGGGTGTGGTAGACACACTGCAGGGTCTATACCACCAAGAGCCTTACGTTCTAGAATTTGAAGGTGGAACATAACAATGATTACCTCTGTGTTGGTTCCGACGTCTAGGGTGACTGGTAGACACACTTTGGGGTCTATACCACCAAGAGCCGTATAAAGTGCTAGTTTTCCTACTGGAATGCCCATCCCGTTAGCTCCCAAGTCACCCAGACCCAGGATACGGCCGCCATCAGTTACTACGATAGCCTTTACCTCGGGTTGGTGCTTATTCTTCCTGTAGGGAAAATAGAGACTCAGGCCTTTGTTGCATTAAATTACTGGAATGAAAATAATGCCTACGATAGTTTAGAGAGTACAATACTTGTAAAGTGATTTTAAAAACATACTTAAATTACTTGTGGATAGAGTAAGTCAAGAAAAAGATTATGAGCCATAGAAATAGTCTTTAATTTCTGAACAAATAAAAAAAACTATGTAATATGTGTTTTACATAAACTATAAGGAGGTCAGTTATGTCTAAAAGTATTAAATTATGATTTGTGAACGATAAACATGGGTATCATACAGTCATGTCTTAAACTCTTAATTTAAAATTACCTTTTTTATAGGGTTGTGAGGAAATTTTGAAAGTCACGTATTATACTAGAACTATTCATACAAAGTAATGGAACGATATTATTAACAATAATGTATTTTACTAATGATATTTTGGAACAATAGCCTTTTATTAATAAGAATCTTATATTGAAAACTTTTAGCTCCAAAATAAGTAATAAGGATGTAGATTAATCAAACATTGTGCTCCAGTGAAATCGCTATAACAGCATGTGCTATTCAAAAGATTCACTGTACTAACATAGACAAAAAGAATTATTTTTGTCTATGATTTTAAGAAGGGTGACACACGAAACTGATATTACAAAACCCCTGTTGAATTTAAATCAAAACAACTTTTCTTGGTTGGGACTTTATCTTCTTAGCTTATAATAATATATCTATAATTATTTGTTTTGGGATTCCATTTTAATTTCATTTCAGCCATTTAATTTATAAGCATGTTTATATACTGTACACACTGCAGAAACTTTACTAATTTGCAAACTCGCGGGTTTTCATCAAGCAGGCAGTACTTCAAAGAGTTCAAAAATATTTGTTTTTCATAAAACTCGTTCCTTATTACTTTTTTCTAAGAAACCACCAAAGGGATGTATGTTCTAAATACTAGTGGCCCAACCCAGACTTCGCAGAGCGGTTAATAATTAGACAATTATTATAAAAGAAAAACACCTTAAAATACTACTCCCCTTTTAACAACCTTAAAATACTAATTCTAAACAGGCCCAATGCAAATAAAGCATGTATTTTCTGTCTGCTTCCATGGCAACCCATCAAAACGTTCTTAAAAATTTCCCATCTCAAAACTTTGAAGCCTGGAAAGCAGATACCTAGCTCCATTTTGAAACAAGAGGCTCGTAGTAATCCTATGGATTTATATTATCTTTGTTTTTTGTCAACTAATTTGGTTCACAAGTTCCTTTTCAAGACGTACCTATATTATGTATTTACAGGGTGTTTTGTAACTCTTTACCAACCATTTAAGGTACTATTACTGGGTCAGTAATACATTTTAAGTATCACATTTAAATCGTTTCCAAGTTACTCATACAGCCGTCATTTTGAATATGTCAAAAATTCCCTTCTTTCTCGATAATCGTGAAAATTATAACCCCAAAATTTTGCATGAATTGTTTTACTTACCATTCCCTTAGTCTATTTTCAATCTGACCCTTGTCTTTTTTGTAGCTAAGTGTGATTCCAATGTTGCCTCCTTTATCAACGACAATTTTGTAGTTTTTGCAAGCTTTTCCTACAACCGGAGTGTAGATTATTGGAAGCATCTTTTCCAAGTTCTCGATAATACACTTGTAAAATTCTTCCTGTTTCTCCACCTAGTACAAAGATTGATAGTTAGTACAATGTTTACAGCTTGTGGTTGACACCAGTTATAAAATATTAGTTGTCACGCGACAGCTCTTAAACTCGTCCTCGCTTAGGATTTTGGAGTTGCACCTATCTACATAAGTGTGAAACCGGTGGTTCAACTTCCTCAATACGGGGAATAAATGCCACATACTATTTCTCTTGTTGTGTTTTCCGATGAGCGTATTCTAAGACGTTGCTCAGTCAAATATATAAGATTCACCATCTGCTTCCGACGGTAAAGACTTTACTCTCTATTGATCTCAGTATCTAATGTTAAGGAGTGGCTATATATATATAATTATAATACAAGGGAGCCCATGTTTATTACTATTATACAGGGTGTTTTTTTAAAAACTTGCATCTTTATTTATGTAAAAACCGCAATAGATAGAAATATGCAGTTTGCGGGAATCATCTATTGACGTAGGGGGCCCATTTTTTTTTAATTGAACGTTACATTTACATTCCCCCCCTTCCCTCCCTGCCACCAACTTATTTTTTTTAAATAGCAAGGTACCCCTTGTGACATATCAAATGAAAGAGCATGAAAAAAGAAAATGTTTGATGAAAGAAAATTTAAAATCGGTTCATAAATTTGTGAGATATCCCCCCCCTCCCACCCGGAACTTAATTTTTTTTTAATCACAAGGTACCCCTTGTGACATTTTAAATGAAAGAGCATGAAAAAAAATGTTTGGTGAAAAAAAATTGAAAATCGGCTCATGAATTTGTGAGATAAATTCAAAGTTATTGTTCTTATAACTGAAATACCTGTAATTGTCGAAGGTATATGTATTTCGACAAACCGTCAAGCTTTGCATCCACTCCTTTGACACAGTCAGTCTTAAGATATTCACGAATCCTCTTCTTTAGCTTCCACTGAACACCCTAAATAATTTATAGGAATTAGTTCTAAGCTAATATCTTCACTTCATACAACTAAAATTGAGGCTTAATAGTTTTAATTACATTATACGTTATCAAATTATTATATCTTATAGGTAACAAATTTTCCATTTATTTTATTTGATGAGAATAATAAGAGGCCTTATCCTGAAGAGGAACATTTTACATACTTTGGACAAAATGTAGGTATCATGTTCATAGAATCAATGTGGTGTAGTAAACTATTTTCATAGCAACTTTGTGATACAATGTTGGCAGAAAATACGAAAAATGTACAGTATGAATGAATATTTTCAAAATGACAACAACGTTATTTGTATAATCCAAAATATTGATTGGTAACAATAATAATACTACTTTTTTAGATAAATGTGCATTTTAGGGTATGCACCCAGTTTTGAAATTTGCCTTCATTGTACTTGAAATTCATCGCTGGTTTCGAAAATGTATCATGTTAACCACAAAAAATGACCACATACTCAAATCAACCGGAATAACGAGCAGATCACAAATGCAAGCATTTTCGAAGTCGTTTCCTCCTTGTTGAACCAACTTTCAGTTTTAGCGAATTCCCCATATAGGGAATAAGCTATTATAATATTATATTATAGTAGGCCTATTTATTCTTACTACCTCTACAGAAATAAACACTTACAACTTTGTATTGCTTCTCCTTAACATAAACCTTGTATTCATTTAAAGTCCAGCTTTCCATCCCTGGTGGATTGCTTTTTAAATTCGACAGACCTGCAAAGAAATTTGCAACGAGTGAAATGTTTGTATTCAAAGACAGATCAACTTGTATATAAAGTGATGAAGCTGTGATAAATACGAGGCCGTATTTCCCTAACGGGTTTCCGAGGGCCCCTAAAAAATAATTATTTACCCTAAAAGATAATCTATTAGGGTTTCACTTTTGATCCGAGCTTTTTTTAACGTGATCGCTAAAAGCTTCTGTAAAGATTGAGTGATCGAAAATCATAACTTCGCCTCGATCACCGGAGACGACAACGAAGTATCTCTTATTTATGAACCCTAACATCCCTTGAAAAGTAAAAAAGACATGCAAGGAATAGAGTCTTTTTAGTAATTGATGTAAAAATAATAATACGATACAGATAATCACACTTACCTTCTTTCACAGCAAACTGAACTATAGCGGCAGCGATGCTTACAGAACAGTCCATCCATTCTGGCAGGGAAGGGTAAATACTCTTAGTTTTATCGTTGTATTTCTTTATACACTCTGATGCCATGGTCTGTAACGGGGTATAGGCTTAAATCTTTCGTCATGTAAGAATGGATTGGGCAACAGTCATTAAAAATAGAGAAGAGAATTGTATTCAGGGGAAAACATGTAATGGACAAAGTGAGCAAGGTACTATTTTTCATTGATTTTTTTAGAGCCAAGTCTTAAAAAGTTGGAAACATAAATAGTTGATATTTGATTTAGATCTTTTTTTAATAACCTTAAAAGAACTTTGATTCACTCTGAGTTGTAAATAATATATTGAATAAGCGTAATAATTGAATAAAATACAAATATGCATGTTTCAACAAATGCTTTGGAATTAAATGGTGGAGAAAGAATATTCACAATACAAACATATAAACATATAGGTACATATAAACATATAAACATATAAACATATAGGTCTTTGGCTCCTGGACAAACCCAAACTTAATGGAGTGAAGAAGTAAAAACTTTTGGTAATGTACCCTAGTTGCTCTAAGTAATTTTTTAAGTTAATTAAAGTCAGTGAATCGTATTGTAGCATTGGTAGACATTATTAAAGTGGCAGGACATAGACGTCCTATGAGGATATTAACTAATTTTGATCGCACAAAAACCTAGCCCTGGTCCCAGATCACTGCGACGCTTAGTAAGCTATGTTGACAGACTGAAGTTCTTAATTTCTTAATTTTAAGTTAGCACTCTATAAAAATAACAAAAAGCTTTTTTACACCTGTTAAGTTTACTAACATAAGAACTTTTATCAACTCACCTCTGCTGCAATTGCAAACACCTTGTTGGGCACCTTTTTCATCTGAGCCAAAATCACTCCCTGAACAATACCTGGGAAGATGTAGTTATCGTTGCATTGGACGATCTCAAAGTTCTGCCTGCGAGTGAGGAAAATGTCATACAACGTCTTCCATGGTCTTTTCTTACTTTTCTTACTTCCACCCTCTGAGTCTTCCTCGAATAGCTTTTCATTGGCGGTAAATAGATTGCCCTACAACAAATAGTTTACAAGATGTGATATACTACAGGTGCTCCGGTTTTTTAAAATTCATATCCAAGCATTTTATTGTTAATAATCTAATCCCACTATTACCCCGTTACTTTATAAAACATGGTAGCATAGTAGAGTCTTTGCAGCACCAGCCTGACCCAAATACCTATCCTGTCAACCCACCGTTCTCGTCTTCACCTATTCGACTCTCTTGTATTCCTACACATCAGTCTTCGAAACCAAAGACAGGCTTGCTTTGCACCATGGTTGAAGAGGTTACATCTTCTACCCTAACCTTTCACCACGATGGCTACACCGTTCAGGCCAATGCCTCTACTCTGAGATCCTCTTAACTATCTGAACCTCAGATACCTTGACCTCCGAATTCCGATTCTAACCATCCAAGTCTCCCCAACAACAACTCAAGGTCTTACAAACTTGCTAAACCACCCATAATTCCCAAACAACTACATTTAAAACGTAAATCCCTCAAGCTTTGAGCTCGCTTCGTAATACACTCAATGCTCAGCATCTGACAAAGCACTCAATCTTTCACCTTATCTTATCACAGTTCTTCAGTAACTCTACCTCTCATTTACTTTACCTTAGCGTATATATAACTTTCTCCAATTGTGCACTCTAGCATTATTATTGGAGGTGATTGACCCACATTGGCTTTTTTCATATTATTTAATACATTTTGAGTGAACAGATCTTTTGCTCCGGAAACGCCTGCAAAATATGCTTTCTTAGTTTTATTATCGTCAGGAAATACAATACCTAGAAGTAGGCTATATGTATGGTTAGTTCTTAAATAGTTAGTTCTTCCACATTTTTAAACTTATTACTTAAAGTTTTCAAAGTTCCTTTCGTCCTAGAAAAAAACTGCCCTTTCGAAATCGAAGTAAGAGTGGATACTTGTCAGTAAATCGTTGTGAAAGTAAAAGTAAGTTTAAGAAAACACATTTTGGTTATATGAAGAATAAATTAATATGGGTGATGTGTTCGTATCACCACAGACCGTAAATTAAATTATTAATTAATTATAATTCTATTTATTACACTCCATCCCATAGTTTATTGAAGCTAAAATCAAAATTCTTCCTCCAAAATAAATTAAGGCAGGTAACTTTTATTTAGCGTTCAGCTAGTATTACCAAATTTGTCTATCTTACCAATCAGAACATTAGGTTTCAGCCACAAAACGATATTTTCAAGATTAACAGTGTCTTGTCCTTTATCTAATTGATGGCAAAATAGCTGTGCATTTTTGTCCTCCAGTTCTAAAACATATACAGGTAATATATACATATGCATCTTAAGTAAGACCTATCAAAGTAGTGTGAAGACCAACAACTTATGTTTTAAACTAATCAATTAAGGGAGGACTTCTTAAATGTTTTATAAATATACGATTATTTGAACAAAACTTTCCACAGAGAAATAAAAACTGAATGGAGTTTTATTCCATTTAGAATTGTAATATTCTGCTCACCACCGAGTTGATTCATGTCATCATATTATGTTACTAACTTTTATTATATCATGATATTGTAATATAAATGTCACTATCTATACAGAGTGAATTCTCTAAATATTGAGTATATTATATTGCCCTGATATCCGTTTTTAATTCAATACTTGCATATATTTTTCATTAGTTATTTATTACTATAGTTCGGCCGCTTAGAAAACAACCTGCGTGCTAATGCTAAACCAATGCTGGAGGAGGTCGCTTTCTAAGCGGCCGAACTATAGTAGGGTAACCGTCCTTCGCACGGTGTCTCCGTATATTTCCTCACGTGCTTAGGCCTACTCATATCGCCCAGGGGAAGCAGAAGTGGAAAGTTTGGTTCTTCAAATCACAAAAAAAATGTCTGCACATCCATAAAACTAATCTCCTATTTATTTTTAATTCAAAATTAAATCGTGTAACTTAGCTTTTTTCCAAAGATTTTATTTTTATTCAAGTAGTGGTGGAAACTTAATTGCCTTCTCAGTACAAAATATATAGCTGATACCATATAAAAATACTGTAATGATAAGATTTGCCTGGTTTTCAAATCATAAGCAGACTTTAAGTTGAATTTACTTAAAATCCTTCCCATATTTGTAGTCAATAGGTAAGGAGGAAACTTACAACAAAAGCTTAAGCAAAATAGTGAAAAGCTTTTATTATCTTATACCATTTAAACATATCCCTAGGGTTAACTAATTTATCAATGTAAATCAAACATCAACCAAAAGCATAATATTTGTTACGGTACCTGTGAGGTTCAAACAACACGTTTTACTGTTGACATTTGTACACTGAAGTAGATATCCTATATTTATAGACTACCTGTAGTAGCTATTCCTTATTAAAAAATAACATCGTTGATTAAGCCACAGACAAAATGCACTGTAGTCAACATTTTCTCCCTTTGAGATAACTGATAACATAAAAATCTCACATCTAACAATAGATTGTTATATGTTGATCAGTTTGACTCGAAAAAAGTACATAAATCAGCAATTACAACTTAGTGCTCTCTTTTGGTTGCTGAATATTTTGGTTGCTACATCCATTGTTATCTAAAACTGGAATCAACTTTTACAAGAGTATGATAGATCTTGTTCCATCAATAATTGAATGTGACACTTCACCACTTAAAAAGTTCAAGGCACATTCATTTACATAATTGTCACTGATTAAAGAAACAAAACATAACTTACACTTTCAGTATTGTTTCCAGAAACAAAAATTAATGTGTATTTGGGTTTTATAATATTCTATTTAGACGTTTTCAAAAGCTATGTAGCAGTTAACTACTTTTTTAAGTATAAAAATTACAATAAAGTAACTTAAATAAGTTTAAACTGAGCAATATGTTAACGTTATTTTTATCCTCGATTATTTTTGTCAAGTTTAGTAGCTATATCTTTATTATTATTACTTTTTATCTAACCATACCAAAACTTTTTACCACACATATAGATTTTTGCATACAAATTATATTGTTCATGTGTATTTTCATACACGCAATAACTCAAGTAAAAATAATCCGATATCGGTGAAATTTGGTACAAACGTGTAAACCTATTCGAACGAGTTCACATACCAGCATAGTTGATCCATGGGATAAAGGTATACAATTCTTGGGGATAAAAATATGTTTGTGGGGTTAAACTTATTTTCCCCTTAAAACCTGTCATTTGCAATTAATTTTTTTACGGATATTTTTTATAGCACAAAATATTATATTTACATAAAAAATAATAAAAGCTGTAAATAAAAATTGCCATGATATTCTTTTGAGAATGAATTCAAAATGTTGTATTTTGCTTGTTTGGGGAATGATTTTGATCAAATTTACTTATTTTATACTAATCTATTAAAATTTCTTTAAAACCCCACTCTATACCTTACCCTTTGCAGCAAACAGCGATAGCAACATACCGATTGCAAACATTTTTAAGGTTGATCAAATCTTAAATATTTTATCAGGATAAAATCTTAAATATTTTAAACATTTTTAAGGTTGATCAAATCTTAAATATTTTATCAGGGATAAAATCTTAAATATTTTAACACTTATTCGAGCAAAAATCCAATCACTGAATTAGAGATTCACTTAGTCTGCAGGTTTGCTACTGCGGGGATTTTTTATATTAGTATTTAGACGTTGACATTGATGCCAGTGTTTATATCCACTAGTCTGGTAAATTTGGTAAAATTTTTGTTTTTATTTGTTATGCTCACGATAAAAAACTGTCATCAATGTCAGTGTTTCGTGGATATAGTGCTTACTTGGTATTTAAAATTATTAATCCTACGAAAAGTAAGAAGCGTTTAGGTTCAAAACTGAATTAGCCGAACTTGATCATTTGGCTTTTAATAAATGATCCTTCTTAAAGAACCACATGATCTGTTCAGCAGCACAGCTGTCATAGCATTCATTTAACACTCATGCTTCGTTCAAAATTAGTTTAAAGTACACAAATTTTGCACCACTACTTCAATTGGTTCACTAATGTGAACAGGAAGTTCGACTTCCTACGTTAGACCAAGGGATTCAACAGTTTAAATTAATGAATTATTTGTACTAAAAACCACCATTCATTTTACTTACCACTACAGTCTGTTAGAAGACCCTTTTTATCCATCATATATATGTTGTCACTCTTGAAATTTGCTTCCACCATAAGTGTCCCTATGCCGAGTGCTGACTCGTATACCTGTAATGTTTTATTTCAACTACAGATTTTTAGCAATGAAAATGTTTAACTAATGAAAGGTTAAAACACCCTAAAAACTTTCAAGGGACCCTTATTTATAGACACGCGACAACGAAATTTGTGTTTCATGGCGTGTGTATGACGACTTTCCACAATACAAAAAAAGGAAAGGATTTACAAAGTCTTGGTTTTGACTAGGTGAACTTTTGAATAATTTTATTTGCAAAAACATTGGTGCAGTACTATCTTATATTCAAAGTGCAGAATGCTTAGTCCTCTAAAACGCAGTGAAAACCTTTTTAAAAGCTCAAAGATAGTTTTCCTCATTAGTGCTTTCACTTCACCCCTGTTACTTATAATTTGGACCAATGGTGGTTCCAGAAAAATGTATGATACGCAAACACTATTGTTTAGGTGGCTTACAAAAGAAGAAAACTTCCCTCCTTAGAGATCATAGTGGATCAAGTTATATATCAAGTTCGCTGCTTTGGAAAATTACAGGGTGTATCACGATGAGGATGTGACGTTTAGTTTTATATGACTTGCCCATCTATGCACCAAACTTTTTTAAACTTTGCAACAATTTTAAATAGGTTTCAAAAATCTATTGTAAAAATGTCACCTTTTTGATAGTATGGCTAGTTAAAACATAGTTAAAAACATAGTTTAAACTCTATAGTGCAGTTTTATTGAAACTAAGTTTGACGAACGACTTAATTGAACAAAAAGTGAAGTAGTGCTGTGCGTGCTTTTACACAGAACCCAATGTGCAAAAGTCAATTATGTAAAAGTATGTACCACTACCAATTTCTATCAAAAGATATTTTAATTATTCACTGTATACTATGAGGTGAACCACCCCTGTGTGGTTCAATTCCTGCCTAGGCAACCCTAAATTTTCTAACTGCTTTTGCAACCGTACAAAACTAATATCCCACGCTCATCACTTCATTATTCCAGCAAAAGCAGTCTTCCTCCGAACTTTGGTCTCAGTGTACAGTAACTGCACTTGGGAAGATTAACTAAAGCAGTATCCTTCAAACGGACAGTTTTTCAAGAATAAGTGTCAACAGCATAGCAGTAATCAAAGGAGGCAATAACTTGATAAAGTAATCGTTATATGTAGCTTATTATTGGTAAAACTATCAATACACCAAAACTTTTAACCCTAATTTGGGATTTGTGTAAAGTTTTAAAATTGTCATACTCCTTTAATGTGCATGTATTATATAGGCCTACATCAAAGCCAAAACCTCGTTGTTGGACACTCTGTATACTAGGCTATATTCAATAAATTATAATGTTGTAAAGGATGCCTAACCTTATTGTAATTACTTACTGTGTCAGCTCCAACGATTAAAACCTTTGCTTGAGTTATGCTAGTTGAAGATTTTCTCAGTTTGTCAGCCCCCAATACTCCTGCCAAGGTAGTAGCTGCTGCGCCTTGTATGTTGTCAATGAAAATCGGGTATTTTTCTTGAAATGTTTTCAGAAAAGAGTATTCATTTTCGGTCGAAAAGCCTTCAAACTGTAAGACAAATGTCAGTTGCACAGTTTTATATAAAAGAACTAGCATTTTTTCAATTTTTGCAACAGTAACTAGAGACAAGAAAAAATATTCAGTTTACGACACATTAGTTGTATCAACGTGAGCATATTGCTTCCAACCAAAATATTAAAACCTAGGGTACAAAACAAACTAACATCATACATCATATAACGCAGCCCCGCTGTGGGATTCAAATATCCCGGAGACAGCAAACCCGCAGAATAATACTGTGAATAGCTATGATATACAGTGTGTAAATTAAGTATTGAAACAAATCTGTATTTTTAAAACCGAAGTAGATGGAAATATTCTGTTTGTGGAAATAACTGTTAAACAAAGGTTTCGAAATTTTTTACATCAATCATATTTGTTAAACCCCCTAACAGGGTAGGGGGTAGGGGGTGACTTATTTTTTTCAAATAGCAACCCCTATTGAGTGAACCCTCATTTTGAAGGGTGGGTCAAAAGAAACACAGTGACGCAAATCCAAGGTGAATATCTCACCCCTAGCCACAATGGCGGATATTCCAAAATGGGTGCTTTTTTACAAAAATTTAATTTTAGAATACCCACCATTAAGGCTAGGGGTGAAATATCTACCTCGGGTTTGCATCATTGTTTTTCTTTTAACAAACCCCTTCGAAATGAGGGGTCACTCAATAGGGGTTTTTATTGAAAAAAATAAGTCACCCCACCCCCAGTTGATGTAAAAAATTGTGGAACCTATGTTATCAACCAATTCCACAAACACAATATTTCGATCTATTTCGGTTTTAAAATAATACAGATTTTTTCAATTATTTGTGAAATTGGTTGCTTTTTCACAAATGGTAAATCAAATTTTGGAATACCTGCCATTTTGGCTAGGGGTGAGATACCCACCTCGGGTTTGCTTCATTGTGTTTCCTTTGACAAATCCTTCAAAATGAGGGGTCACTCAATAGGGGTTGCAATTTGAAAAAAATGAGTCACCCCCTACTCCCTACCCCTGTTAGGGAGGTTAAAAATATTTTTGATGTAAAAATTGTGGAACCTTTGTTAACAATTATTGCCACAAACAGAATATTTCTATCTATATCGGTTAAAAAAAAGATTTGTCTCAATACTTAATTTACACACTGTATTTTATTGTTCTGTGTTTGAGGCAAACCAAAAATTGCGCTCTTAACTTATAGGTTTACTAAAAAACTATTAAACGACGTCACAGATCTCGTGGATAGTTTATATGGTAATTTTGTTACAGAGAAACCAGTAACCTACAGTCATCATTGAGTAGGCCCCCGTTTAGACCAAATAACCATGTTAAACTATTCACAATCACATAATTTAATACTGTTTTACCTGAATCAGGGTAGTTTCGCCAAAAGCGTCATGCACGGCCTCTACAAATTCTGTAATGAAGTTACTATATTGAAGTTTATCAGTAGTTCTTTGGCGTTTGTTTCCTGCGTATTTTGCATGTTTTCTTCTCAAATGGTTCTATAAACATGGGAGGCAAGTTTCAAATAAATGTTTTACTATATGAATAAAATATTTTATCTTAATTATTACTCCACATTACAAAGATACAATGATATAATGATTTTATTCGGCCAATTAACAATATTGTGACAGGCTATTTCAAACAGTGTACAAACATAAAATAAATATCAAGAGTAAACACCCTACTACACGAATAAGCTTATTTTGTATACAACGAATGTAAGTTATACTAATGCAGAGATTTGTAAGTTGTTATCAATAATTATTATAAATTAGTCTTTTGATTTCTTTTTAAATTCTATATCAAAAATATAATATATTATCAAGAAGCTATTTACTTGGAATGCTGGAAATAGATAAATTGTTAATATTCATGTATAAAAACTGCAAAGCAAATATTATAGAGCTTATGAAGACTTGAAAGAAATTATTATTAATTAGAAATTAAATAAAACCATTTACTATATACTGTATATATACCATAATATGGTATTTGGTCAATGTATTCAATGATAAAACCTACGTGTGTATAAATGTTTTAAATCATAAATACTGTACGTTTGTAAAATATATATATAAAATATATTAAGTACTAAGGAGGACCCGCAGTAGTTTTTCAATATACGTATGAAACGTATATACTTATAAAAGTAAAGTCCAATTATACAAATTAGAGCCAATTATACAAATTAGAGCATAGTAGTGAACGCAACCCCCCTGTTATTTATTGATCTACTTCATCGCTTAAAATTTTCGAGCAAATTGACTTTTAAAATAATTGGTGGTTGTATTATAATATGTACACATGAAAGCATTTTACTTAAATAAATACTTAAATACTTAAACTGTGAAGTTATGTAAAACATCATTGTACTTAAAATTGGATTTGATTTAATCTAAATTTGGGTTGAAGATTTCAGGTTGGCCTAGTTGACAGTCATTATCCAAAGATCGCGGAAGTTACTTTAAAAAGAGTTTGGTGAAAGCAGGCCTACCTGGCAACCAATAGATGCACCTTTGTTTCCTGCTCAAACTTATATTATTCATCATAGAGATTCAAATTACGATACGCACTGAGTTTTTATTCTCGTGTTGTTTGTTGTTAAACGAATTCTAGCCGTTCTCCCTTGATTTATTTTTATTTTATTTATTCATTTAACGGTTACAACCAATACAGTAAAATACATTGTTGTGCATGCAGTAACAAATCAACTATGATCAAGAGTGAATATACATGGACAGCTGTTAAGGTATTACTCTAAATAAATAACAAGTGACCAAGATTGATTGCAATAGAGTAACAATAAATAAATATTCTCAAAATAAAAAAAAAACAAGTAACAATGAAAAATTAACAACAGTGAGACACAATTAATAAATAACAACAGTGAGTAACAATAATTAATAAATAACAACAGTGAGTAACAAATAATAAATAACAACTCTTAGATAACAATAACCTAGCCAGTAAATGCAATAAAATATGTAGTGTGTAACAGTAATAAATATGCTCTTTGATAACAATAACATAACATACTTCTTTGATTGCCATAACATATTATCAATGTATTGAGGAAATAATTTCCCATCGTGTAGGAGTTTGGTGAAATGGAGAACCATCCAACTCAGGTCCTAATCTGCATATAGAAGTTAGGTTAGGTTATGTTAAGTTAGATTATATAAATATGTCCCCCGAATTCACGACCAGTAGCCGGGATCCCTACACTCAGGAGTTTGAACCGCTTTACCGTAAAAGCAAGTTCGAAGAATTACTAAAATTGCTATTACCATACACACTAACGAAAAAACAACCACCATTCATAGAACTATTTAGTGAAATAGTAGTTTACGCAACGATTGCGTTAAGTTAGTCTTACGACACGAGTAGAAAATTGGCGAGTGCCTTAAAAACTTCTACGAGTGTCGTAAAGACTATTAACGCGAGTTGCGTACACTACTTTACCTACGACACTTTTTTAAATACTAACAATCTGGATTTTAATTACTAAAAATCACTACTCATTACTTCTTAGAGAGGTTATGTTTTCGTTTATTGTCAGTGCTAATGAAAGGAAAGTGATGCAACGACTTATTGTATAATCAGCTGATTTCCTGTAATTACGTGTTTGTAAAACTTCGATAAAAAAATACGTTACCTTTTTCAGGGAATGTGTTCTGCTAGCAGCATTCTTACCATAAATACTGCATCAGGTACAATTAGGAAAATTTTGCATTTTGTTTTTGACAACTGAATGATTATAGTGAAACAGTTAATTTACAGTTAGATCTCAGCATCGAATATTGTAGAATATTATAAACAGTTTGTTCTCTCATTTCCATCTCGTCAGCTTCACTTTCACTACTGACATTATTAAATCAGTTTGATCTACCTTTCTTTAACTTCCACAAACTTAGGTTAAGAATACGCGAGTATCAACAGGAACAAGTCAGATCAACAATTAAATTGGTCAACTGATCAGCTGATTAGTTGACGTTCGAAGCATTACAATTTTAATTTTTTTCTCTCAATACTTGAACCTCATTCGTCCGTTACCTGTGTTGATATGAGAAAACCTATGCTGATATGAAATGAAACTATGCTGATATGAAAGTAAACAGTTGTTAAGTGAAACTTTTCAATTCTAAGAACTGAACTGAAATGGCTACTTTAAAAAAACGGTAGTAGGTAAAAAAATTTACCTGATTGTTAGTTCCAACATCCAAGGCAACAGTAAGAATATTGTCTGGGTGGACCCCTCCCAGGGTAGAATGCATAGCTGCTTTGCCCTCAAGAAATGCCAAGCTGTTTGCTCCCTGATCTCCCACGCCTAACACTCGCTCTCCATCCGTGACCAAGACAACACTTACATCACTGTTGGGATTATTCTGTGTCCTATAATGGAAAAAACACACCTCTGGTTGATGAATAATCTCTTAAGAAACAGACTACCTAAGTGAATATACTGTAGATTGATAGCTATATGGTTATATTTAGTAGATAGTTTTTGTTTTGAGTTATTTTAATTTGGCCTACATATATTTTGGGTGAAATAAAATGTTTAACAAAATATAATAGGAAGTAAACAAACTAAATATAAATAGACTAAATGTATAACACGCTGAGCTATCTTTTAGTTACCATGAAGATCTATCATTATTAGTTATTTATCTATAACAACAGCTGACTAACAAGTATAAGGCGTAGCCAGGTGAGATTAAAACCCTTAACTATACATTAACTATACATACATTAATATACTTCCCATGTAATGTAAATATTTGAATAAAAAAAATATTTCAAGAGTTGTTAGCCTCCGGATTACGCTTGAATAATTATAAAGGTTTAAATACCTGCACCCGGTCGCGTCACCTGTCTCGTGTCTCCGTATTTTTAATATTAAATGTTCGTCTTTCAATGTGCGTTTTCGTGTGTGTTCGTGTTCTATGTACTTATTAAATGACGACCTTCATATACGGAGATGAATAACGACGCCTTGTACAGCCTGAAGATGATTCCCTGTGAATCGAAACTATCGTTGCCACAAGCAACTTTTGGGATTACTGAATGCAGGTATTTAAACCATTATAATAAAAAAAAACCTGGTGCAATCTGTTGAGATGGTCTACCAACTAATGGCAATATTCTGTGTCAAGTGATAAATCAATCAGCTGTTTGCTATGATGTTGCATTGGTTTTAATTAATTTTAAGCCCAATAAACTATAGTTCGGCCGCTTAGAAAGCGACCTCCTCCAGCATTGGTTTAGCATTAGCGCGCAGGTCGTTTTCTAAGCTTCCGAACTATAGTAATCTCTCGTGAGATGGTCCTGAACTTTCATCTTTTTTCTTTGCTTCAAATTTGTATATCACAATGAAAGTCTATTCTGTGTATAGTCAATGTTAAAATTAAACGAAAAAATACGGTTTGCCTACTTATGCGTAGAATAGTCATCCAATGAATTTTTGCGTTCACACGAAACAATATAATAGATCAACCAAAATCATCTTGATATACAGAATATCCCTAAGAAAACAGCCAAACTCTGGTAAATGGTGTTATGGGTCAAAATAAAGAGAAAATCAAGAATAACATTTTTCCAAAATCGCTTCGTTAACCAGATATCCGCCATTTTGTATTTTTTACATAAACATTTTTATTTTTGGATTTTTTCAACCAATTTTTATAAAACTTGGTATGTAGGTTAAGGAAGAAAAGAGAAATATTAAAAAAAATCATCTTGATTCAACTTAAAATTTGAATATAGCGGCTATATTTTTTAAACTTAAATTACTCGAAAACGGCTAATTTTATGAAAAAATGTCTAAGACACTTTTATTTAGATTTCTTAATTCCCTATCAAATTTCAAATTAATAAAGATCGAATATAAAATTGTTGAAATATTACGATTTTTAGTTGTAAAATGGGGTAGAATAAGGCAAAAGCTGCATCAGGTTTGCACCATTTTACGACTAAAAATCATGATCAAGAAGTTATTTAACTAAAAATCTTAATGTTTCAGCTATTTCTTATTAGATCTTTTTGAACTTGGTATTGTTTGATAGGGAATTAAAAAAGCTAAATAAACGTGTTCCTTTCCATTTTTTCATAAAACTAGCCGTTTTTGAGTAATTTAAGTTTAAAAAATTTAAAGGGCCGTCATTTTGAAATTTTTAGTTGAATCAAGATTATTTTTTTTACTAACATTGGTCTTTTCTACCTTAACCTACATATTAAGTTTTATGAAGATCGGTTGAAAAAATCAAAAATAAAAATGTTTATGTAAAAAATACAAAGTCGAAACGATTTTGGAAAAAATGTTATTCTTAAATTTTCTCTTTATTTTGACCGATAAAACTATTTACCAGAGTTTGGCTATTTACTTACGGGACACCCTGTATAGTATCATACCAGATTCGTAGTATAACGTATAGTTTTTTGTTTGTTTTATAGTTGTAACAACATAAAAATGTTGATCAGCAATAAATCAGTACCAATTCAAATCTTCGGTTCCTCGCTTAAAGCTTTGGTGGGAACGCCAATGTCTTAAAATAGCTTAAATACAAATAAAACAACACAACGCATTCTTCAAACCAAGGTTTAAGTCATTTAAACTTACCATATCATCAGCTCCACGGTGATTTCACGATTGGCATCGTCCATATTGATGATGAGACCAATTTGCAGATCGTTTTTAACGATCGTCTTATAATTCTTACTCGCTTTCGCCACCACAGGCATGTAGACTATCGGTGCAATCCTCTCAACATTGTTAATCAAACATTTGTAAAAATCTTCTGGTTGGTTTTTCTAAAACGAAATAGAGTTTAGATAGTTGCATTTTCTTTTGAAAGATTTTTTAAATGTTATAATATGTTGTTTTGTTGGGTAGGTGTTAGGGTGCCTCGCAACCTTGTTACAACAGATTTTTTTTGCCAGTGGCATTTTTACGTGTTGAAAGGGAATGGTCCAACCCCTGGTCTTGTCGATGCACAATTTGCACTTCCCAAAGAAGCAAAGGGTGAGTATAGAGTTTGAACTAACCATTTTAAAGAGAATGCAAAATTTAATTCCACCGTTACAGTGATGAAAACGATTTTGTTTGATTATTATAAAATATTATAATTATTTGTATAACTATTGTGTAAAGTTGCACTTCCTACAGATACTATAAAATCAAATCAAAATCGCTTAAATGATCTTGAAATTTTTTTTAATAAGCCACTATTAAAATAGTAGCCATTTTTTTTTAAATTGAACTAAGTTAGCTTTCCTACAATAGGTCTCTTCTAACTTATAATACTTGTATGTATTGCAACTTTCTATAGTTGCATAAAATATCGGTTGGAAAAATATAAAAATAGAAATAAATGTTAATGTAAAATATAACCAAGGCTTGGCAGTTTGGTTGATTACTTATGGGACACCCTGTATGATAAATTACACACATTACATTGACATCCCTTAGATCTTCCTGAATCATTTTAATGCGCGTACGACATGTATATTAAGACTGCTAAGGATACAGAAAATTAAGTATTACCTGCAGGCCCCGGAGGTACATGTACTGGTCCAAGACATCGTACTTGTCGTCCAAATTATTAAGGCAAACGTCTGTCACCACACCACTCACGTAGGTTGTTGCCACTTGTTTTGCCTACAAAAAGATCCAAGATATGTTTTTCCTTTTCTTTATATTCCCCTATAATTTGTTTAACATAATTCTTTTCTAATATTAGTTCTAAGTGGTCTGCATTGAAGTGTTGCTCCTATATTCACTTGTTTTTTTCAATTATTATTCCTGATTTGTATATATAAAAAAATAATATACAAACAAATCAACAATAAAAGGTTTTTGTAACAGTAAAATATTGCAGTCATAGCATCACCTCTTTGGTAGGAACCAGGTCCCTTTTTTTTAGCTATTTCAACATATTCTAAAGTTTTAATCAACATATTCGTAATTTGCTTTATCTCCCTTCCTACATTTTACTCACATTTTTGTATATGTTCCTTGCAGCACTATACACTTTAACGCCATTTTGTATGCCAACCGATTTCAGACCAGAAAGGCGGGACAAAGTTCCTGTTGCTAAAAAAAACATATTTCTATTATAATTTATATACTTCATCACTATTTTTAGTTGCATTTCAATTTTATTTTGACTTTATTACAGTTTTTCAATCTTTGTAGAATATAGATCTGAACCCCAGATACCCATATATGTATATATATATATATATATATATATATATATATATATATATATATATATATATATATCCATAGATTTATTTCCCCAGTAATTTAAGAGTTGTCGTAATAATCTAATTTCTAGCAACGGTAGTTTGCTCAGAAGTGCGTTGCTTAGAACGTATCGTCAGTATGAACTCAACTAATACAGTTATTGCGAGTAACTAGTACCATTGACTATGCTAGTACACATATTGCTGTTTACTGCTTTGTCATTAAATGTTTGTTAAAAGCATTCTGTAAATTTGTTTGACAAAATAAATATAAAGGAAACCAAAATTGTAATAACAGAAATTTAAACTGAAATTAAACTCACGTGGACCTGTAGTCTTGGTTTCTTCTGATGATAATTCTTTTAACAATAAAATCTGAAACATTAGTATTTGATTTTGAATTTATTTCAAGCACAGTATCGTAGATAAATGAATATGCCAGTTGTTAATAATAAACATGGATCGATAAAGGTAATGGTTAAAATAAAGCCCTATACACAATCATTTAACAGGATTGGAGGTAGTAAAGTAAGATCTATCAATTTGAAAATTTTTTGATTCCTATACATTGAACACACCAAAGTGTGAAATAAAGTTCATTTTATTAATCATGCAAAAGGGGCGAAAATTCGTCTATAAACATAGCGATATAGACGGTTTATACTTATAATATATCAATTAATTATCCCATACTGCGTATCACAAATTAAAAAACCCACGCACCTATCACATGTTACATATCACAAGGCACAATTAACATCACTCGGCACATTTTGTTTATTACTTATTTCATAATAACGTATCATAAAACACATATTATACTGCATATACTACATAAAACACTTACAGAATATAAAGTATCATTTGAGAACTCTATTGATTTAAGTACTGAAAACAAGCACAATCTGTAAGAAACCTAATGTATTTTTTTGAATAAAATATTATTGATGAAATTTTAATAGTATTTCTTTAACTCAATAGCTTTAAACTGATAACATCAGTTCACGTGAATGACGAATTCCTCTTTTTGCTAAATAGTTAATACAATTTTGAACATTGACTTGTAAAAATCAAATAATAAATTAACAATACCTGAATGAAAAGTATGAAAATAAAGGTTTGAAGTCCGAACAGATGCGAATACGAGTACCTCATTGCATGGGGTCCATACACAACTGAGCTAGAGCTGTTTCAACAATAGGTTACGTAACGTTTCTACCAATATAATTACGAGTACAGCTGTACCTATTCTGTGGCATATTTAATAGCCATCAAATGTTGTAAGTAATTTGTTTCTTGCCTAAAAACGTGGTTAATGCAGTTAAAACTACTAACTACCTACATGCACAGTGCACAGGCGTTAGTATTGGTGATTCGTCAAAACAAATTTAACCGGGTTTCAGCTTTCCCGGCTGATGTTGACTATGAGTATTTACCAATACTAAGGCTTGTACAGGTACATTCCAAAAAAACTTTGGACAGCCGCCATTTTGTAACGGATAATCCTTTTGAGACGCGGTTTCCGGCAATGAACTCCACTTGACCAGCGTTTTAAAATGATGTGCATATCAACCTATGCTTACATTAAAGATTTTGTGCTTACTCCTCATGGGCCGTCCCCTGGTGAAGGTAAAAAAATGGTAATGCTTGGAAAAAGTAGTTTTCATACATATAAGTTAATGTGAAAGGTTGGAATTTTCTAACAGATTTAGTTAAATGATATTAAGCCGTTTCCAGACTTTTTTGTCACCCTGTATACAGGATGTTTCAGAACTCCCTATCGTCACCACACGATACCAATATTTAAATATTGGTCCCAATAAATATATATATAAATATATATTGGTTCAATATTTATTGGTCCCTACCAATATTTTAGGGCATTGTTCCCGGGTAAGAATCATATCTAAATATCATATTTAAATTGTCCGGAGGTCCTTAGTTACTCACAAAGCCACCATTTTGTTTTTTTCACTTATCAATTTTTTCCTACATAATGGTTAAACGTAGAAAATTTAAACTTTGCACAAACATTTATGACAACTAGACAAACCTGCAGAAAAATTAGGACAAAATTTAAAATGCATAAAACAAAATGGCGGCCATTTAAATTTTTGTTTCTTAAATAACTTAAAAACTGTTAATTTTACAAACATTTTACAAATATAACTTTTTTTTTGAAATTTTATAAAAAATCGATTGACTTATTATTTATTAATATTGGACAAATAACAACTGAGATATGGCAGCTTTAGTGATACATGACCGCTGGAGGTTAGTTGCAGTACATGCCGAAGCATACGGCTAAAGTCTGTCCCAACAATACAACAATCACCGTTCCCTTTGCAAGTTATTTTTAAGTGATTTTAGATAATTTTAAACAATAATAAAATATTATATAACCCCAAAACTGTATTTTTTATCAATTATTTGTCATTAGGATTGCTTAAAAATTGCACACCTTTTTACTGTCTTAAAAATTCACACAAAACAACCCAAACCTTTTATGTCAGCTGTGGTGAAAGTCAACGTTCTTGTCTACAAACTAATCAGCTGATTTATTTGTCGTCTGAAAATGTTATTGTTTATTCAATCTATCAGTTCTTCTAACCTCACTGAGTGTACACTTTAAAAGTGAGTGTAAAAAGTCTAATGACTTTAAATGACCTTAAAGGGCAATTGATGAAATAATGAATAGTTGTGCACAAGGTTTCTCGTCATGACGAACATTTTAAGTATATGGTTTATGGGAGTATGACTTTTAGTTTCCTCAAAAGTTCATGGGTACTTTGGGATTTATATATTGACTAGCTGTACCCGTGGGCTTTGCCCCGTTTAACTTCTTAATTTTCAAGATGAGCTCGTTCGCATGGCTCAATCACGTCCTGGTTGAAGTTCGTTCGCTACGCTCACTCACTTTTAGGTTGGAGCTCGTTCGCTGCGCTCACTTGCCTTCAGGTTAGCTCGTTCGCTACGCTAACTCGCCTCCAGGTTGAAGTTCGTTCGCTACGCTCACTCACCTTTTGGTTGCAAATTAGCTGTTGTCATAAATGTAAAAGAAATAATAATAATAGTGCTGCACCCTGTTGGTAATCCTTGTAACTTTAATGCTATTGAACATCATAGAACAGAACCAACTTGTTTAATTGAAACAGCTGTTACGATTCATTAATTCCATTCAAATATGAGTACACATAAGGTTAACATGGGAAACTCCAGAGCCACTGGGGCAGAGCCCGAGAGTCCGATCAGAATAAAAACAACTTAGTTGTCCTATTTAAAGCCTAAAGAATCAGTGTACCAAATTTCAGCCTCCTAGGTAAATGGGAAGTGGGAGAATTAGTGATGAGTGAGTGAGTGAGTCAGTCAGTCAGTCAGTGAGGGCCTTTTATATATATAGATTTTCAATTAGCTGTTTTTTCTATCGCGCCGCCATTGACGACGCAGCTGCCATCCTCTCTACACATTGGGGCTTAAGGTACAACTTTAAAGTTTGTTTGTGTGATTTAATTACTGTAAACAACCTCATTTGCCCCTCACAAGACATTTTATTCCACCTCGGGACCTCAATCACCCTATAAATTGCAGATTCACCAATTTCTCTAATTTTACTATCTTTCTCTTGAACTAGTAATTAGTTCTGGTCCTTCGAGCTATTAAACTTTTCATTTCTAAAATTTACCGCCAAAACATGTCGTACAATGCCTAAACACAAAAAATATATAATTGTCATAGTAAAGAAAAGTTATAACACTTACATCTTAGTTTACAGTCACGTTTTTGTGTCGTTTGCTAGCCATCTTGAATTGGGGTTGTATATAATAATGAAAAAATGCCAACAAGTAATTTTTTTCCTAAGGTACATTAACAGTTTTCAAAAGTTATTTCAATTTTAACAGGCCAGTCTAGCAAACAATACATATCAGACCACACTATTTAGCCCTAGTGATGAAATATAGTAACAAATTAAATATAATACCATCGGGTGAGAACAACCTCATTTTCTCGAGCCAAACAAGATGATTTCTCACCTTTTTATTTGCTGGGAGAAAATATTGGATGACAGGAAAAATTGAAGTTGAAGTTGAACCTACAATTTTCAGTTTGGAAGACTCAGGTAAAATTGTACCAAATCTGAAGAGAGTTTTCAATCTAACATGGCTAGAGAAATCAAGGCGGAAATCAGGATTGACATCCAGAACCAAGAGTGTGACTTGAAGTCAGTGGCTTGCCATTCACAAGGATGCTTTGTTTAACACTGTAGCTCCTAGTTGACTCCTTGAAGACAAAGAGACCTCGAGTCCTCAAAGGTTTGAAATACAGGGTGTCCCGGAACTGTCTACCAATATTTTAGGGCATTGCTACTGGGTAAGAAACATACCTAAATATCATATTTAAATTGTCCGGAAGTCCTTAGTTACTCATACAGCCACCATTTTGTTTTTTTCAGTTATTATTTCTTTTCTAAAGTATGGTTAAGCATACGAAATGGAAACTTTGCACAAACATTTATGACAACTAGACAAAGCCACCAAAAAAGTTTGACGATTTTTCAAATTCATAAAACAAAATGGCGGCCATTTAAAATTTTGTTTCTTAAATAACCCGAAAACCGTTGATTTTACCGAAACTTTACAAGAATAACTTGTTTAAGGCAATGTTATTACAAATTGATTGACACCTTATTTTTTAAGATCGGACGAGTATTAACTGAGATATGGCAGTTTTAAAGATACGTGACCGCTGGAGGTTAGTTGCAGCGCATGCTAAAAGCGGTCACGTATCACTAAAACTGCCATATCTCAGTTAATACTCGTCCGATCTTAAAAAATAAGGTGTCAATCGATTTGTTATAACATTGCCTTAAAACAGTTATTCTTGTAAAATTTTGGTAAAATCAACTGTTTTCAAGTTATGAAAAAAATTTAACGGCCACCATTTTGTTTTATGAATTTGAAAAATCGTTATAATTTTTCGGTATCTTTGTCTAGTTGTCATAAATGTTTGTGCAAACTTTCCATTTCGTATGTTTAACCATTCTTTAGAACAAAATAATAACTGAAAAAAAAACAAAATGGCGGCTGTGTGAGTAACTAAGGACTTCCGGGCAATTTAAATATGATATTTAGGTATGTTTCCTACCCAGGAGCAATGCCCTAAAATATTGGTAGAGAGTTCCGGGACACCCTGTATATCAGAAGTTGTGAATCATCGGCCTTCTGTAGAGAACAAAAATTCAACTGCTTGTTCAAATCTGCTGTGTATAGAAGAAAGATAATAGGCAAGGGCCTTGAGGGACAACAACGAATCGTATAAGAGATTACGATAATCACCCGTTAACCTTCGCTCTTGAGTTCACCCAGTCAGATAAGATGAAACCCACCTAATCGAAGTTTAATCAAAATGATAAAAACAAAGCTTAGCTAACAGAGCATTCAATGCTAACCGAGTAAAAAACCTAGGAGAAATCTAACGCAGTCATTAAACTCTCAAAAGCCCTTATCCCTAGCCAAACAAAATTTCATTTAGAGTATTTAGAATCGCAGCACAAGTATTGAATCCTTTCCTAAATACTCACAGTCTGCATCCCCTTTGTGGATTTATCAATTTTATTAGTGTGCATTTGGTCCTTATTTCTTCAGTCTCCAAGAATGAAACCATCTGTATTAGGACAGATAACATTATTCCAGTATTCTAGATATGACGGGACTGATTAACATTTGTCGGAAAACCAGCAGAGGTCAATGAAAGATTGGGTGTTTTTGGAAGGGGAATTACCACGCTCTGGTTCCAGTTGGAAGGGAATTTTTTAATGATAAATTGATCAGATGGGTGATTCAGAAAGGGCTAAAACCTCTTAAAATATTTATGGATATTCCATCCAAACCAAATGCGCAACTTATGCTGTTCACTAACACCTTTACCTTGCTTTCTGAGACTGGAGTAAACAAAGAGACAAAACTCCAGCGTATTTATTGCTACCATACAATCTCAGTTTGTCGTTGCAAACTTCCTTGCCACAACCCATTGCTGTAAATAAATTATTTAACTTCTCTATGGTCAGTTACATCAACTGATGTTTCATCACTCCATAACGAAAGTAACTATTTTCGATAACAGCTGACATCAATGAAAGTAGTCGTTTCCCAAGCTCTAATTTTGGGCGAGGGAAAATCGATCAGCTGATTTTCCCTCGCTCTCAATTTGTTCTCCATTTATTTACTACGCGCACAAGTGTTTTGTTACGGTTTAATTTAATGATTTGAATCAGCTGTGTGTATGGTTGAAAGTTGTTTTATTCTTTTATTTTGATGTTTAAACAAAATTTATTGAAAAATATACGTAGGCTACCTTTAGAATATTTTATCCTATTTTTTTGTTTAAAAAAATAATCATAAATAAACCTAGGTCTCCTTTTAAAAGATTTTATTTTATTTTGATGTTCAATCTAATTATTTGAGAAATAAAACAGTTGAAATATTACTGAGGTCTGCTATTCTGTGTTTATATATTTTTGCGTCGTGATGAAAAGTATCGTTCATAACTCGTACCGAAAGTTATTATCCGGCACTTGCTCCATTATTCCCGTCCTCGGCTTTGCCTCCTGCTCGTAGCGTAGTCCAGAATTTCTTGGGATTTTCTGTTTTTAAATGCCTAGTGAAATAGTGCCTTTTTGCCAACCGTATTGCTCCATTTAGTGAATTTCGAGCCTTGTAGTAGGCTATGCGTTTCTAAAGGCCTGAACTTTAAATGCCAGATGGGTTTTTTTACATTAAACATTAACATTATTATGTTCAGGTATGAAATATGATAGACTACCAACATGTTACATTTGGAAATATTTTCCTTTTGTTAGCACACTCACTACCGGGTGTCAAGAGACTTTTTATTTAGACCGGTAGTGTCTAAATAAATAAATAGTATTACTTGATAAAAAGGAATTTTAAGTTTATTTGAATCTGAGATAAATAATTACTATCAATTATGGTACTGTACAAGGTCATTTATATTGTACTCAATATCTAGCCTATATCCTTAACAATATCATGGGTTATATCCCCAACAGAACCACAAAATATACTATAAAAGGTATAAAATTACCTACCAGCATCTTATCTTCGACTAAGATTAGACTAAGTCTTCGAAACGCGTTATCCGTAAGGAACAGACAGGATCACTCTGGCAGTACTCAGGTAATTTTATACCTTTTATAGTTTGTTCTGTGATCCAGAGACAAAACAACTCAAAATATGAAACACAAAATATAATGTGATTGGAGAGATTTTCCTCAACACTTTGGCGTTGACACGAACGACGACAACAACAAATACAAAAACAACAACATGTTTATAAATAAAGAGAGTTTCCTATTAGAGTGTGACAGTGATCTCATATGGCAGCGCCATTGATAAGAGTGATCCATGTTCACTGAACAATTACTATCGAACGCAATAAGTTTGACATTGACATATTGCCTTTACACTTGACGCTTGCATTAATTACTTTTAAAGCTTGTAAAGTGAACAATGTTTTTTTTTGTAACGGTTTCAAAAACAATACATGCATTTTAACACAATTTCTTTCTGAATTTATACTTTGTAGAGAAAATTAAGACACTATGATGTAAAATGTGGTTATAGACGATTTGTTTAACGAAAGTTAATCGACGCAAAAACTATGATAGACATTTTTCAATGTTTATGTCTATTAGACATTGATTGACTAACTTGTTGTGTTTACATGTGGAGATTCTAATCAGCATTAATGCGTCTAGAAACAATAACCACCATGAGCAGTGAAGTATCCATGTTTAACGTCTGTTTTCCCATGCAAGTCTCAAAGCAGTGTTCATAATGTTACCAGCCACTGATTGATTTCATAGCAAGTATGTAAACTTTATTTTAAAAATCGGAATCTTGCTGAATTCTTTTACTGCATTCTAACTGCATAGTAACGGAACATTTGCTTAAACTGAGAACTGTAGACCTCACAGATGGGTCTTATTTGATGCTTTAACTTAAACAACCAAACAAAATTCAACCATATAAAATGTGGAAAAAACTAAGCTCGATGTTTTGAATAAATAATTTAATAAATATAGTATTTACATTTATCAAACAACATACTTATCTTAATAGTTGAGCTATACATTTCAATTTGTCATATACTTGTAGATTTACAAAAACATAATTTATAACCTATAGAACGTTACAGTATAGGCTATCTACCTACCTATAAGCCACTCAAAACTTAACCCGTGTTGTAACACAACAATGCTGTTAAAGTCAAGTCAATGTTTTCAATTTTACGAACTGAACTGAAACGGCTACTTCAGGTGAACTAAAACGGCTAAAAAACGATTGTAGGTAAACTAACTTAACAACATGTGTCGAACCAATGAGGTTCGAGGATTGAGAGAAAAGAAGTAAAATTGTAATGATTTAAACTTCAAATAATCAGCTGTTCAAGAGCAATTTCAACGAGTGCTGCAATTAGTGTTTAGTAATCGTACAATGATTTGTTGCATCAATGTCAGTGGCAATGAGAGGCTATAAACGAAACATAAGAAAACTTTTAGAAGTTATAAGAAGTGATGTTAACAATAACAAAAACTGTCGTAGGTAAAGTAGTGTACTCAACTCGCGTAAATAGTCTTTACGTGATCGTTGCGTAAACTACAATAAATGATTTTATAATGTAAAACATTACTATCAATATTACTTTAAGGAGTGAATCTCGACATAGCTTTTTCAGCTGACACACCAAAGTAAACCTTTTCAATTAATGTTGTGAATGCATGAACTTGAATTGTTTCTGAATTCCGTTTGATAAAAGAATATGTTCTAGAAGCCCAGTGTGTTATCGTTGAAAATGACCAAAGACAAGATTGCATCTCATATTTATTTATCATACCGGTTTATTTTATGAATCATTGCTCTACGCAGCAGAAGAGAGCTAGTGATAATTCATTTTCCTTTTTCAAGTCTTAAACTTTTCTATTTAAAAAAAAACAGTTTAGTTCGCCTTTTCAAGAAAGTGAGACACTTTGTGTAACTTTGAGTTTTTGAAGCTGGCTATGACCATTGACTATATAACACTATAGTAGTGTTATATAGTCAATGCTATGACTGCCGAGTGCGCATGGTATACAGTGAGATCACCATCCCACTCTACTAACCACCAGTTGTACCAGCTGTCAGCTGTTGTAGCTCTTGTAGAACATTTTATTACCACCCACTGATAGTTTTTTACGATCAACTAGAGCTAGAACCGTTTTCAAATTATCGAAATGTGTTTTTTTTTTTATTCAGGGAGAAAAGCCAATTGAAAAATATTGATTGTCCTCTTGATTTAAATAAAACTTAAATGCAGTCTCTGTATACGGAAGCAAAAGGTCAACAGACCTTCTAACTTTAATCTGGTATTATCACAGCAGGATTTTTCAGAGTCAGGAAAAACTACCAAATAAAATTAATAATCCATGCGTCATCATTTAAAAAACTGTCAATCACACAATCGTATCCCCAGCTGCTTGTCTCGTCTCACTGAGGTCGTAGGACTCGCTCTTCCTTAGCGAACGTTGTTCTGTCCGTAAACACGTCAGCACACACAAGCAACAGAACAGCAGAATCAGCGCTGCGATGCTGACGAGCAGGATCAGCAGGGTGAGATAGAAACTCGGAGAAGACAGCCACTGCAGAACATAGTCTATCATCTCCATCACCAACGCTTGTAGCTGAGAACCGATTGTTCTGAATTTGAGAAGGGTGACTTTGTCTTCTGGAATGAGAACAGAGAAAATATTGAGAGCTTACTGAATTAGAGTTAGTATGTTAATATATAAAGCGAATTTTAATTGCTTAGAATATATTTTAAGGACTGACCTAATATGTTTTATCACGTGAAGCAGTTAAATGTGACTTTGGAGTAATAACTTTCTCACGTCGATAAAGTTCTGGAATCTGTAAAATGAGATCAGAAAAGGAATGTGTAAAATAGTTTTATAAAATTGTTACACGAGTGTTTTATTCGTTTAACTGTCCACGTGTCTTTGTTGAATACATAAGCCACCGATTCACCAAGACGGAAATATAAATTGCATATAACTGAAAATGTCAAATTGTTTTTAGCTTGTACCACTCTTGTATAAACTCTTATTGTTTTTGAAGATACACACAATTTTAACTTTACCTATACATAAGTTGCCCTCTCCTCCAATCGTAAGACCAGCAGGGCAGGTGCATTCTACCGTGTATTGAGACAATATTGTACAGTTGTGCGAACAGTTGAGTTCTGCACAGGCTGTGTCAGGGTCTGGCGTCTGTGTGTGTGAGTTGAAGAACTTGATGTCATGAATCACCTGAAGCAGAAAAGTTATTTACAAAAATGCAACCAAGAAAAAATCCCCAATAAAAGCAGAAAGTTTAAAAAAAATACAACAAGAGTTGTTAGATATAAGGTTACTTATAAATATTTGAAAATAAGGGCTAAGTATTAAATATTGTCTTTTAAGTTCAACGAAAACAATAAAAGTAAAATAAATTCAAAATTCAAATTCAAATATATTTATTCATGATAATACATCGTCTTGGCCTCGCCAGGTTTACAAAACTTGTCTGCGAGGTCCAATTTATACACAAAAATTAACAAACAAAATTAATTTGTTTTCTTTCTTCTTTTTAAGAAAAATAAATGTTTTTAGCACTACTAATTCCATGGCGGTTTGTGGCAGGCAGCTGTCTATACAGAATATTGGCAGCAGATATACAAAATTGAAAAATTGCAGTATCATCTATCTGACTTATAATCAATGCATTATATTCCGTTGTCTTTGTTTTCCTGGTTCATAGACCAGGAGTTTCTAAAAATTAAAGAGGCAGTGTCTAACTGGAGAAAAAAGTAGAATCGTTTGTTTCTTGTCCCCTGCTTGTTTTATGAATAACATCTCACTAAGAAAAGTTATGCCCATGTAAGCATTTATTTACACAAAGCAGAGAAAAATAAAACACTAAAATGTTTTAGAAGCTTTCTTTGATCTGAGCTAATCAGTGGATGTTTTTTTTTAACGAAGCTACGCGGCCAGTGTCAAAATCGATAAATTTCTTTCGCGTTAAACTTATTATCACCAAATATTTACCCATAGTTTGCACTTACTGTTAAGTGGATTCTTCCTAGTCAGAATATGGCCTTATTCAGAATAAGTTTTCAAACAAGGGCCATTGAAACGTATAACAGTAAGTTTTACCAAAGTGATGATAAAGCTGACTCAAATTGTTTACAGATTTCTAATTTCACATTATAACACTATAAAACTAGTTGTATAGAATCGCTTGAATATTTATGAATTGTTGATTTACTTAAATACACAGGACATCGACCCAAAATGTATTTATGACTGCAATTAAACTAAAGGGACATGAGTATACTATCCACCCATCTCTATTGACAAATTTATTCCGCTTTAACCTTTCAATGTTTTTTATAGTATGTCTAGCCTACTTCTATTCTGACAAAATTAGATGTTTCAGTAAGTCGTTCAATTACATCTGCATTCCCATGACATATAGACAATTTAAAATTGTATGCCAAATTGCTTCCGCTAAGTGTGTCATATTTTCGGTCCCTATTTTACTCCTATAAAATCGGTTAAGTGTTTTCCAGTAGGATAATAAACTCTATCAACAAGTTTCAAACGTGGCATTCCCGGTTTCTAAAGGATCGTGTTTGAGGTAACCAAATACACTCATAAGTTGTCTCATGAATACGAGAAAAATACCGGTATGGATCATAAACATAAACAAATGACGTTGTTGGCCCGAATCCTATACTAATAGCATTGAACATATGTTTTGGCAGTTGTTTAATGTTTATTTCGGACCAAAAACGTCATTTGTTTATGTTTATGATCCATACCGGTATTTTTCTCGTATTCGTGAGTTGTCTCCAACTTAAGACTTTTATTTTTAATCCAAACACTGGAACTCCATTCTATGTATACCATACCCATAGTATACCTGAATAAAGAGATTTCTAATTCAATACAATGATTATTGTTTTGTCTTCAAAGAACATGTTTTATCACCTCTTCAGACCTGTAGACGATCTCTAGTTGGTCAATATCACAGGCAGGGGTTAGTTTGCAGGAGTAGACGATGTATTCTCCATGAGTCTTGCTTCCCCAGACTACTACTCCGTCAAACACTCCTAGGGCGAAGGGCTGAGCCAGCTCCCCCCCGTTAAACAGAAGGGTGGAGTAGGAGTTGAGGTAGTCGGTGCTCACTAGATGCCATTGGTGGTGGTTTTCGTCATATCCTACGACGTATACCTGAACAAATTTATGGTACAGCATGTGTTATATAATTTTGTAATCAATCAGGCCATTGATGGAATTTTAGTATACTATGCCGTACAATTTGACATAAATTCTCTCTTCAACATACGGTTTGAAAGTTGGTCACGTCCGCCTGGAAACAAATGTTTAGCTTTGTAACTGCTGCAACGGATGCAATCTATGGAACGAATAGGCCTACCTGAAAAAAGGAGCCTAGACTAATAACGTGCGGCTTATGATTGCCGGACGAGTTACAAAGTTCCACAAAAGCGTATTTGTTTATTTTCACATTTAAATTAAGTGAATGATACTCATACATTGTACGGAAGCTATAGTGTAATTGTGTTTTAGTTAATCAATATAATAAAAAAAATTATAAACAATATTTAAGTAAACGAAAACCGGAATAAATATTTTAAATAAACAAATAGATTGAAGAGAGAATTTATTATTCTCTCTAATTTTTACTTGTTGTGCTGGGTTTTCATAATACAGATGTACAAAACGCAATTTTGAAAACATGTTTTACTTGTGACATTGAAATTCCCCCAATTAACCAAAAACCAATCTCCAACCACCTCACATTATTGTTAAAAAAACATCTTACTGAGTTTGTGTGTTTGTTTGTTTGAAGTTCAATCACGCATAAACTACTGGACAGATTGGTCTGAAATTTGGCATGATGATAGCTCACATTCCCGATTAACATTTAGGCATATTTTTATCTCAAAACTCCTTTCAGTCTCCGCCCCAGTGCTTTGTAGTTCCCCATGTTAACCTTATGAGTATTCATATTTAAAGGGAATTAAAGAATTTAGTCAGCTGGTTCAACTAAAAAAGTTTGTTCTATTACATGCAAAAGCATTAAAAAGTTATGAGATTTGCCAACAGGGTGCAGCACTATTCTTTTTGATGCATTTATGAAAACAGCTAATTTGAACTCAGTTATGTTTATGTTTTAAATTACATGAATAATTTAAGATATCTTGAGAATTTGATTAATTTATTTTTCTATATTGTTTAGGTGAAGTGGTAGAACTATATGGCTATGGTATATGTGTAATACTATAGTATACTGTGTAGTATACTGTATCTTTAAACCATAAGTTTAAAGAAGCAAATTTGATCAAACTGTGTCCTCCCCCACTGCAAACGCAAAGCTTGAGTATAACTGCAATAAGCATTCATACTTATATGCCAACCCCGTACGAAGGACGGGTTCTCTGCTAGTATTATATAAACTTAATGAACTGATTACCTATTATTTAACAATAACTACCTACGTGTTTGTTGTGATGATCTACAGAGACCTTAGACACAGCTGTTATGTTGTGAGTGATTGTAGAAAAGTGATACTTGAAGTGGTCGGAGAATGACCTCTTCTCATGAAGTGAAGACATGTAAAGACCGTCATCATTGATGTAGAAAAATCTCCTAAAAGATCCATCATAATGTTTGATATAATAATATTAAGGTTTAATTTACTTTTCAGCGTTGTTTAAACAGGGTGTTTCCAAATTGTCTAGGTATATGTTGTGGACTTGTTCCTTGGGCTAAGACAAACATAATGCCATATGAGTATGAGTCTAAAATGCCTAGATTTCTGTCTGTCGGTCTGTATGTAATTTATTTTCATTATTTTATATCTTGGGCATTTTTCAAGATAGAAATTTTAAAATTGGTTTAAATGTGTAGCTTAGAAGTAAAAAAAAACGTTTTAATATCTCAAGCCATTTCAATATGGCAGCCATTTAAAACCTTTAATGCCAAATTTCATGAAAATCGTAAATATTAAGAACACCGTTTTCACAATCAAAAGGATATAGAATTCAAATCCAAATCAAATGAGACCTGGTTTGTTAAAATCGGATGACAAACAACCGAGTTATCAATTTGTTTTCTACATTTCGGTTACTCAATTTAATAGGACCTAGAACTAATAAGAGTAGCCCTTTTAAAATTTCGAAACTGGGTATAACTGAGATTCTATATTCCCTTTGAAATTTTGAACTCTCGTAGATATAAAATAATAGGAATTTTATTGGTTATTTTTTAAGTATGCATGTTTCATAAGCAATCCATGTGTTTTTGACAATGAGATAAAGATTATTGTCCAAATGGTTGAGAATTTATCTTGTTCTATTTAGATAACATCTAATCTTTGTTCAAACATGTAACTATGATCGTATAGTGAATGCTTAAGAAACAGCAAAAGCCACGTAAATATAATTATAATTACGCTGAATTAAACTTCATTCTAGCCCATAATGTATTATTTAAATGGCACATTAATGGTCTTATGACTTAAATTAGGTGAATACTTCGTCCCCAACTCCTTTGCGTTATAGAAATGTTTCGCTGCTACTGTAGAGTCATCAGATGTCACAGTACACAGATACGAGTATAATTTATTCGTACAACAGTGAGATTCGGCAGTGCAGTATGTTCTGTACTACGGTCATGACGTGTGTGGGAAACCTATCTGGTTCTAATCGCATTTTAACTGGGCGTAGAACATTTTGTCTTTTGATGTTGCTACAATTGCAGTGAAAAATTACGAGAATGAAGAATCAAAGTAGTTGTGAGGCAAGGTAATTAGGTCTAGAAGCCTTCGAATTAGCTTATTTTGGTTTTTAAACTGTAGAAATACAATGTTATAGTATTTTTATTAGTTCTTAGATTCCTCCTCCGCATTAGGTCACCTGTCATAGACGTCTAGCGCCAAGTCAGTGATGGAGGCGCCCATTATCTCTAAGAAGGGCGCTACTGTAGCACCCAGTAGGGCCGCCTCGTAGATGGTGCTGCTGGCGCCACCATTGTCAGTTGTGTAGTAAAGCTTAAAGTCCCTCCAGTCCACAGCCAAGTCTACCAGCCTCTGTCCTGTAGATATGATGGGGATAGGCTCTGCATGACTGTCCGTATACTCACTGTAGTATGAGCTGGGGAAATACCACATATTAGAAAGGTAGGATTTTGAATTTTGTTCATGATATTATACTCAGTATTTAACCATTGACTTATATAATTCAGCTAGCTACCAGGACATCAATGTACTGCGTGGCTACGAAGACTACGTGGTTTCCAGCCCACCTATCTAGGTGGGCTGGAAACCACGTAGTCTTCTAGAAATATCTATCTAGAAATAGTCACTCTAGTACTAAAAACTGTAGAGGTTCAAAAATAAAAAAAAAATATAAAAGAGGTTCTTTTAACCCTGCATTTGCCCGTCCACATAGACTAACCACCCGTGCGTGGGACGTTTAAAGCAAAGCAAGGAGTGAGCCGGTACAGTACAAAGGTGAACTGTAATGATAAATTTTAGTGGCAGTGACCAGGTCCGAACCCACGACATCGCTGCCTTGGGCCCGAAGTCCGTGACGCTACCGACTGAGCCACTGACTCCCTTTTTAAAACAACATAGCAACATGGTTTAGGACCATATTTTGGATGTCCTGTTACCTTGTGAGTTTTTGAGGGAACAAGAAACCCAAACTTCCCCAGCAATATGTGTCAAACAGTAAACAGGAAGAAAGGTTGTAATGATAATAAGTATATTTTACGTGAGCGGTGACCATTTATCTATTTAACCTCAAGAAGTAAAGAAACAGGACAAAACCGTAATTAAAAATATAATAATATGATTTTTAATAACACAAATAATCAAAACGATTAGTTAGTTAAGTTAGGCTATTTATGTTAGAGTTTAGTCCTTACAACTTTAAACAAGGTTGCATTTTCTTTTACTATTTACTATTTGCAATTTTTAGTCCACATTTTGTATGGATAATATCGTTAAGAACTAATGTACATAATGCAGACCTTATTATTACAAACGTTGTTTAGAAATGTAGGAATTTCACATCTTAAACGACCATTATATGAAGATTCATCTCTGCAGTACGCGGTTCCTACAACTTTGTGGCGAAGAGAATAACAATCCACGGAATAGCTTCTCTTTAAAGTGCGCGAGTTTGCAATTAAAAGTTTTGGACAAAACGGCCTTTCAGTACTTAAGTGTTTAGTCTTCCTTACAAGTTACTGAACATCGCATTTCGAAGTGGTATTTGCTGTAATTTAATTACCTTTTCAATAGAAACAGTATGTATTTAGAGGAGCAATTTATTGAGAGAAAAATCCCAAATGCTGGGCACTCGAAATATAGTTTAGAAAAATATTGATAAGCCAATTTTAGGTTATTGATTTTTCAATATTATTTTTTATTCATTTTTTACTGATGTTCAAAGCATTTTGTCTTGATATTCATACTGTATATCAAAACATTATAGGTCTGTTTTAGACAGTTTTTTTTACAAGTTTCACGTAAATAGTTTTTAAATACAGTATATAATATAATAGTCCATTTGTATTCTCTATACTCCACAGCAACCTAAACACAGTATTTTAAAGGACCTATCTTTAGTTCAGTATTAAAATTACTTTAGCAGTTTATATATTAAGTAACTTTTTTATGGTTCAAACTTCCCAAGCCAATTTTAAAAGTTTATAATCATGAATAAGAAATATTCAGAGCTTCCCTTCAACATAAATTTTCTTTAATTCACTAATAAAACCGCTTATCAACTCTCTGTTTAAGTGGGTTATCTCTTTTGAAACGTCCAAGGACCTGAAACTAAGTTCTATTTAAAACGGGATACATGCAACGTTTTTACTGTGAATAATGTTACAGCCAGTGGAAAAAAGGCATTCTCGGGAATATTAAGTCATTTTATATTCCACTCCTTTTTGGATAAGATAATAATACTTAGTATGGTCAAGCATCGAAAATCGACAATGGTTTTAAAATTAAAATCAGAACGAAAAAATCAACTTGTCCCCATTCTGATATAGTCATGCCCCACATATCTTGAATGGAAAAGTTTCAATGTTCACAGCAGTATACTAGGTCAAATGGCTCAATTAAAGGTACTTTTTAAATACAGAACAGCCTTTAACGTAAACGTGTACTTTTTTATTTTATTTTTTTTTCTTCAATGTACCCGATTGTTGTGCTTTGTGTTCATTGATTCAGACATCCATTCAATCATCATTCAATTTACGATTCATCATTCATTTAATTTTATGATTGTTCATTTGATTCGGGGTTTCATTAATGTTAATTTATATGTTCATTGGCAATTTTTACTTCTGTTTAAGCGAACTGTTTGACCCTTGATCTTGTTACTATTGAACGTAGATTTTTTAGCATCATTAATTAATTGATGGACCGACAAACAACATCTGAGCTAGAAAAAACAAATAAACACAATAAAATAGGAGTAGAATTGTCTACTTTTTGGTTGTATTTAGACATTGAGATTTAAGATTGTATTTTATGGTGACGTTTATATTGTAATAAAAGCTCATACAGATATTATCCATGGTAACGTGTTTCATGATCGATGTTACTATACAAATCTTAGAATTCTAGAAGGTAATTCAAACATGACTTACTACAATATCTGATTGTTCGATATGAAGTAGATGTCTCTATTTTTGTACCGGAAGTCCACAGAAGTAGCCAGAACATAAGGTAGCAGCTGATGTATTGTTATTGGAAGTGACGTAACAGCCTCCAGAATCTTGATACCTCTCTCTGAGCCCACTAGGAGAGTCTCCGAGACGCAGTCTTTGGCAAGGATTAAAAAAATAATAAGGGTTTCGAATGAAAACAACTAATAACGAAAATTAGTATGGTATTACGAAAAATATGTTAGACATTAATATTGATGAGGTAGTAATTTTACAATCCTGAACAATTAAACGATTTAATATTTCTTACATGGAATCTATACGATTTTAAGACATTTTCTTTTATTATGACATATATTTTACTATCCATAAAAATATTATGAAACTATTGTTTCCTTTGCAACTAAGCAGCAGTTTAAGAAAAGTGGTTGGGTAAAAAAAATTAAAGTTTGAGTTAAGATTAGAGTTGAATCTAAAGTTTAGCAAGAGTTATACTGTATAGTTGTTGCATTGTTTATATGTTATAAGATCGTATATTAGTTGGTGACATGTATTTTCCGGAAATGACTATAGTCATACTTCGAAATTCATTCATACTTCCAATGAACCAATGAATTGATTGTTTATGTAATTTAAATTTAAATTTGTTTAATGTTGATAAGTCCTTAAAGGTTTTTAGTCTTCAATTGTTCACAGAAAATGTGTAATCACTCTAACAAGTTTGATAAAGCTGTAAAATAATGAGACTAATTTTACTGCATTTCATTAAGAACGTTGTATTACTAAACATATAAGTAAGTATATGCCCTTGGAGAAACCTTCACATAAGAAAAAACACGTTATTACACAATTGTGTATCCTAGAATAAACATAAAAATCATAGTTAAGTATTTTTGGCTTGAACATAATATAATTTATACCATTCAATGTACACACTTTGTTCCAAAATAACCATATTTACATTGTTAAAAAGACTGCTCAATAATTCTTTTAACAAATCTCTAATAAGGCAAAAATTTAAATTAAAATTTCTATTCGTTGAACAACGAACGTTGTAACTTTCCAAAATTTCATAGCTTAATAATTACGAGTTATATTAAATGATTGTACCTATTATGTTTCAACAATATTTGATAAGACCAAATACAGTTTGCTTCTACACATTGATCACAAACTTCCCCCAAAATATGTTTCAAATAATAGAAGTTAGAAGAAGTAATATTTACGTGTGAAAATCAACCTATTTTCACTCACATTGAATCTAAATTACAGGTTTTCTTCATGTTTGGAATTATAACGTTGGTATCATATTTTGAAAACGTATTCAAATGAAACAGAGCACTAAAAGATACTTACACGTAAATGTGAAACACAATAAAATCCAAGTCACTGCACTTTTCACTGTGCTCACCATAATGACTCTGTGTTGTACTCGCTGGACTCTGCTGGGTCAGGGGTTAAAACTGATAAACCCGTTAACGATGATAAACAGTTTTGTCACTCGTATCGTGGCTAAACAATGTAAATAAGCAGAATTCCGTTAACATTGGCTATCAGATACCAGGATGGACTTCATATATAAAAGATCTAGCTGCAGCAATCTTTTTTAAATAGATCATATCATATAGTTTAGGGTTATATTGGGTTGTAATTTGTAGTAATTTTTTACCAGTGATTCTGTTTTCTTCTATAATTATAAAAGAGGATGTTTGTATATATATTTGGCAATGATAAACTCAGACACCGCTGAACCGATTGCCACGAAACTTGGTACATACGTGTATAATTTCATGGAATAGGTTTATACACCATCAATTTCGTGATTCGTCCAATCGGCTCCGCCCCAGTGGCTCTGGAGTTTCCCACTTTAACCTTATGAGAAATGGAATTATGAATCTTAACAGCTGTTTCAATTAAACAAGTTGGTTCTGTTCTATGATGTTCAATAGCATTAAAGTTACGAGAATTGCCAACAGGATGCAGCACTATTATTTCTTTTACATTTATGACAACAGCTAATTTGCAACCAAAAGGTGAGGGAGCATAGCGAACGAACTTCAACCTGGAGGCGAGTGAGCGTAGTGAACGAGCTAACCTGAAGGCAAGTGAGCGTAGTGAACGAGCTAACCTGAAGGCAAGTGAGCGCAGCGAACGAGCTCCAACCTAAAGGTGAGTGAGCGTAGCGAACGAATTTTAACCAGCCATTTAATTGAGCCATGCGAACGAGATCATCTTGATAATTAAGAAGTTAAACTTGGCAAAGCCCGCGGGTTACAGCTAGTTCAAATATAAAAGATCTAGCTGAAGCAATATTTTTTAAATAGATCATATCATATAGTTTAGGGTTATATTGGCTTGTAATTTGTACTAATACATTTTTTACCAGTGATTCTGTTTTCTTCTTATATAAAATCAAACCTCCAGGTCGAAATTTAATTTTAACATGGCTACATATTTTGTGCGTAAAACAGAAATCAGTAATCACAGACAATAGCATCTATTGTAACGCTATTGTCTGTGCTGCAATTAAATAATTGATAAAAGACATATTTTCGAAGGCTCAAATCAACTTTGCATTTTTTTAAAGCTGGATACACCTATAACATAGAAGTTTCTAATCCCAACCTTAAAAAATATAGTCTATAAAAGCAAATTTTTAAATATAAATAATCCTTTTTTATTTTTAGCGAAAAACGTGCCTGGATGGATATTTCTTTGGTGGATGACTTAAGTCTTATGATGTTTACGAAAAAGAATATCAAGTCTAACTTAAGGGTTTCAAAGCCTAGAAGTCTGTAAGCCAAATGCTTTAAGAAATTCTTAGTACACTTTAACAGATATAAATAATTTCCAGGTTTAAATCCCAGGGATATTTATCTATTGATGAGTGAAAATCTCAAATGCATGTTTGATACATAAGCATATAAACTGATTAACATGACCTACATACACTATTTTAACATTTGAAAATAATTCCAATGGTTATAAAAAAGCCTGGAAATAAAATACACAGTAAATCTAAAAAATAAGCCCGTTTTGTTACTATGTTCACCTATGTTTAAGAGTCAGGATAAAGTCAAGTTCGACTTCATTGAGGATAAAGTATCAAGTTGGTTTTGTAGTCAAAAAGTGTTTTAATGCTAATTCAGCAACACCAAGTGTCTTACAAACAGTTAGAATCAATTTGTTTACATTACTCCAAATTGTATTGCTGTTTAAGTAGGTACTCCCGTTAATGATGTTTTAATCGTTGCTATTACAGAGCACTTGATTTAGTAAACTTCTTTGAGAGAAAGTTAATCAGTTGAAAGCACAATAATTATCTACTACTCATGATATGACCTTTTAACGTATTCATACATTTAAAACGCATATACATCAATATTTACAAAAGAAGATTCAGTTTAAATGTCAAACTTATTAATGCACCAGACATTTTACACAGCAGTTCAAATAATTTATTCTCACAAATATTTTAAACCTACTAATCATACCAAGCTATTTCATATAACAATGTTTTGTTATAATTGTTGTTGTTCTTAAAGCCGCGTTTACACCAGAGTTAAGAACAAAATATTTAAATCACCTGGTTGTTAACAAAAGTCTTAAGTGTTTGGCAATACTCTGTATACGAAAATAGATCATATCTTTACAACTAAGGTATCAGAAAATCGTCGATTTCCAAAGAAGGAAAACATATGATTTCTCCTGCCTTTACATTACTTTTACAAACAAACTTTTGCTTTTCCCAAACACACGTTTTTCTTACCCAAACAAACAAAGTTTCCGTTTAGCTCACGAATACTAGAACTGAAACGGCATGGATCAGAAACAAATTATATTACTGGACCAAAAGTAAACATAATTTAAAATTAAAATGGAACTAACTAAACCATACTAATGTTATTAGTATAAGATGTAGGCCAGTTACGTAATTTGTTTTAATGTTACGATCCACGCCGCTTTCTGTTGTAATTTTCATTGTTAACCTCAACTGGATGCATTATTTTGTTAAATAAATATGTTCTAAACATCTGACTTTCAAAACAAATTGAAAACCTAAGCTATGACAACTTTAAACATAATTACTATATTATGGAATGACCTATTGTTCAAAACCAAGAAACGTTGTGTGATTTTTGAACTTTCGTGTTATGAATCGCGTCGCGATGGATTCATTATGGGGTTCGATGGTTATTTTTACACTCGGCTTCGCCTCGCTGATTAACTTATTTACTGATTTACTTTGGCTCCAAAATAGGCCAAGGTCCACTTTCGGGACAAATGTGAAATTATAGCTCTGAACTTCATTGTAAACGTGTATCGAAAAAATATGTAAATACCAATATGTTCAAAATTTCTTGCAAAAATAATTTGAGTTGTGAACACTAAAATAATTGTGAAAACATTACAACAAAACTAACAATTTTTGCATCGTAAACTCCGATGTAGCTTAACAATCTCGATAACGTTTTTTTTGTATTTGGTGGAGGGATAACTGTAGCCCCGCAACGTTATGTTAAAACATCTGTTATAATATAGTCTAACCAACACCAATGTTCTCACCCCATTGTAAATGTTGAAGCTCGTTTTCGTGTCTAGCTCATGTTGGTGACACTGCTATTGAGTGTCAACGTATCTTTATTATATTAGGATGTATTTACTGATCTGTGCTTTACTGTTTGGTTACATAACTAAGGGACGAGTTATTACTTATGATTTGATCGTTTTATTTGGTTAAACGACGTTTTAAATTACTGAAATAACAAGAAACAAATTTTAACAAAACACGACCCCTACTAGTGCACCGGACAGAACTAAGAATAAATTGTCTTCAGCTGATCCATAAGGATGGGAAATCTATGGTTCTAGGGTGTGATCTTTAACCACTGAAAAAATGTCAAGGGTGTATTCATGTCAAAGTTAGATTAAACCTTAATGAGGAAACGCAATGGACAAGCCTAGATTGTTTTGCTATGACAGAATCAACATCACTCTTCATGGCCTATTTTAATGCTATAAACCTACATTTCTATCTAAAATTGTCCAGTTTTATCATATACTGTGTCACAATTTATGAGCATATTGCCTTTAAAATAAATCACGAAAAAAAAGGCAAACAGGGTATAAACATTTCCTTAAAATATTTTATTATTGATAGTGAAGTACTTTTTCTCATTCTTTCCCATTTTATTTACCATACAATCTTAGAATAAAATGAGACTTAGGGTAATAATAAGGGAAGAGATCGGAAGGGAAAATAAACATAATTCACCGATTTGGAAACTGAATATGTTGTTTCAAATACACCAAACATAAAGTTATCAACTTTTCGTGCCCAGAGGGGTTGTTTACGTCCGATATCTTTACCACAAATAACTCTATCCCCGGTCAGTCGAGTGATCACATCACATCACATCCACTTCATCTGTCAAAGGATGTGATTGGTTCGAGATTGGCGTCAAAGTTCAGGTCAAAGTTTGTGAAATATATTGTCTAAGACCTTCAATGGTTCAATCAACCTTGCCAATCACTTATAACTGGTTTATATAAGAGACCAATAGAGATTGATTCTGCGAATGCTGTTTTTCATTGCACCAGTTAGTTAGTTATTGGAGGCTGTTGGAGTCGGGTTGTTTTATCTCATTATGTTTAGAAAGCTTTCATGTTTATTTATTATGTTTGTAACCAATTGTAAAACCAACCATTTTAACCAAATAATATACTATACGGCAGCTTTCTTTTTGGCATTGTAAACTAGAGGGTAAAGATCAAACTTTAAAATCACTCTGAAGTAGGAGAGAATAATTTATTCGATAAAAGTGCTATCAAATGCAGGTGGTCAGAAAACTGTTATAAACGTAGGTTTTGGAATGATCACTTGTAGAATCAGAAGTCAATGCTTTTGGTAAAGCAAAAATGCAGCCACGCGATAGTTCTGAGTCCGCATTTTATTTATCTTAGAGTCTATCCATACATAGTTAGAATATTTTTAGCGAAACAAGTTGCATTTCCTCGCATTTGCTGCATTCGATGCATAACTTTTGTATTCTCACTAAGCTATGCATACAAGTCTCATACTGAAGTAAACATTCACTCCTGCACAAATGTTATTCAGCTGCTACTTTGTAACTTAGTACATAGAATCTTACTAACGTGAACTTGAATAATATTTATGTTTATTAATTATTATTGCATATTGCAACAATAATTAATAAAAATAAATATTACATAGGTTCACGTTATTTATTAAAAATAGTTTATTCCCTATATGGGAAATTCACTTATAATAAATAAATATTAATGTTACTAGTTATATATTCTAGCTAGTAACAAAAATACCAAAATTTCCCTAATTTTATGAGAATATTCTGAAACATCACTTTTTTGCTACATTTAGGAACTTAGTTATTTTGATATATGATAAGGCTTTGAGGTA